GGCTTAAGCCCTTAATTCAGGGATGGGTGAGCAACCTGTGACTTTCCGGGTGTCATCGGACCCCAACTCCCATCAGACCCAGTCAATATGGCCAGTGGTCCAAAGGATGGAAGTTGGAGAGACCAGAGTCATCTGGAAGACCACAGGTTCCCCACCCTAAAGAAACTCTGAATTCACACACTTAATAGTGCATTGTCTCACCCACTGAATTTATTTGTGTGGTGTTATATTGTTAAGCAAGACCGTTGAAGTGCGGTGTTTGTATTTTAAGATTGTATTTTACATTGTAGGGAGGAAACAACAAACCGATCTAAAAGTTGGAAATGGAAATGTACTGGTAAATTTTGCTGGGCAGAGCCGTGGCTGCTTTTGACTCAAAACTTGCAGAATAGTGGCAGCAGCAGAGAATTACAACTGGAATCCTGCCAAGGCTTACTTGGGACTAAACTTCCAAGTGAACATGAATAAGATGGAGTCGTGCCTGCCTGAGTTTCATAGTCATATCCCTCTCTCCGGCAACCAGAGAAATTAGAAACAAGAGCAGGGCACTCTCAGCAAACTACATTTCCCAGGATTCTTTGGGGTGAAGCCATTAGAGGTTTCAGCAAAATATGTGTTCGACACGCAGATATACTCAAAGAATGCCCTTAAGGTGCAAAAGTGACGTGTGTGTGTAAGTCTTGTACAAACGTGTTATAACCAGTCAAGCAGTGCTCCTGTCTGCCAGTAAGCAAACTCCTTAGAACAAGAGCAATCGCGGGCGGTAAAGTCACAGGTCGCGTCAGCTCCCTGGCCATTTTCAATAGTCTTGCGGCCCTTTAAAGAGTGACGCATTTATGAGGCCATTAGCAATCCCTTAGCCTTTGGCGGTGCCAAAACACTACAAACAGGTTAAGCCTCCGTCATTGTTATAAACCTGCTGCGGACTTTTTGCCCGTCCCAGCCTTTATTCTTAGAAGTTTCTCAGAAATCAACGGACTGGACTGGACGAGGCGCGCGTTGCAGCCACGCTCTCAAGGCGCCCGCCCTCAGGCCGCTGTTTCTTGCAGGGTGAGAAGCCCGGGCGCCCCCCTCGCGCGCCGGATCGGCTGCCGGGGAGGCGACGTGGGCTCGGTGCTCCCTCTGCAGGACTCCAGCGGTAAAGGCGGGAACCCCACATTCACATGCCTAAGGGGGGCCGAGCCCTCTCAGCCGTTTTTTTCCACCCTCTTCCATATCCAATGCCCTTGAATGGCTCCAGGTAGAGAGTGGAAAGGATACTTATCGCCGCCACCCCCCCTCGCCCCTACCAGCACTTTGACAGCTTCCCCTCAGGTGTGGCAAGTAAGTCCCAACCTTAAGGGAAAGAGTCGCGCACGCTCGACTGGTGGGACCCTCACCCTCAAATGCGCAGGGCAAAACGCACACCAACCCAACCCACCAGCATCACCAAGAAGGGGCATCCAATGCCTCCTCGTTTTGTTTGGGGCGGCGGGAAAGACGAGGAGGGGGGAGAGTTGGCTTATTACATTTCTATACCCCCCCAAAAAAAACCCTTCCTGGCCGAGCCAGAACACGAACCAGGTAGGTGAGAAAATGAATGCCTATTTGAAACCCTGGAAAACTGCTGCCAGTTAGTGTAGAAAACACTGATGGACTACTGGTGTGACTCTCTGCAAAGCAGCTTCTGGTGCTCCTATCATGAATGTGGACAGTGGGCATTTATCCCATATACAGATCAGAGGCATACTATCATATGCTTTGCCCAGTGCTGGATTTATGTATAAGCTAAGCAAGCTATAGCTTAAGGCCCCACTCTCTTGGGGCCCCCAAAAAATTAAAGGAAAAAAACCCCTGGATGTACATTTCCAAATTATAAGATAAAAAACAAAATAAAACCTACATACAGCAACAGTAGCAAATGGCTATTAGGTCCATAAATTACCATATAGCATATATTCAACACCAGATACAGCAACAATTTGGTGTTGACAAAGGACAGCTGGACATATAAAGGGCCCCATTAACTTCAGTAGCTTAGGGCCTCATCAAACCTAAATCTGGCCCTGCTTGCATCACTGAGTGCTATGCTGTGTTACATATGCTGTTCCACTACTATTATTTTTCTGTCTGTGCAACAACTTGTTATGGTTTACTCACATATGTTTAAAGGAACTTTACAGCTGCAGACGAGAATGGGCATTTCATTTATCTTTGCCATTTTCCTATCCTGCATTAAAATTTGTGTGCAGCACAGTAGCATGAAGGCACCTTTTTTAGCATGTTATGTGATAACTAATATTTGAGGCACATGCATGTCCAAAAAGAGCCAAATATGTGTGTGTGCGCATACACCTTCGGTACTATTTTAGCTTGGGTGCCCCATGCAGTGGTGGAGCTTCATGCTCCGGCACTGGGGTAGGGGGGGAGGCGGGGGTGGGGCTGACAGTGTGTGTGGGGGGGGGGGGACAGCCGCAATGGCACCCCACCGGGATTGCGCTGCCGGGGGCAGTACACTCCTCCTGAACCTCTCTTCCTTCGTCAGTGTCCTCATGGTCACTGTACATCTTCTCAGCTGCAAGAGTTGTACTATTCTGCATAGAGAACTGGTCCTTGTTTACATATTGCTATTCTACACATTTGGGATTAAAAAAAACCCATTTAGATGGAGACAGATTTAGCAGTCAGGGTCATGGCCACCTGCAGCCATTAGCAGAGCGCAAAGGTGAGGAATCAGCCCAACACTGGTTTGCAGCTCAGCACCATAGCATGACTGAGCAAGCATGTAAAGAAGTTCACTTTTAGAATAAGACTACAGAATTTAGAATTAAAAGGCCCGCAAAAAAGTGTGTCAGAATATCCCCAGCCACCAACATGAAACAGGAGTTGAAGCTCTGAGAGAATTCCCTTTATATTTCCTATCAGCCTGAAACCTTCCCACACCGGGCTACATCAATGAAAAAGGGCTTAGGTTTGAGGTTGGCTGCCAGTTCTGAAATTAAATGCTTTATTTATACATAGCTAGGGAAAAATCTAATAGGGAGAATTAATCAAATGGAATATATAACTTGAGTGGATAAACTTTTTCAGCCAGATGTAGGACTAGTCCATGCCCTGCAGGCCCCTTTTGTTAAGGGGTGGGGCTGCCTACCTGTTGATCAGCTGACATCATTATGACATCAGGCAACAACTTCAAAAAGGCCTTTGAAATTATGTAGTCACTCCTGTCAGCCTGGGCCCCATTTTGTTTGGTACACTGGTATACAAAAGAATCTGGGTTTTCAATAACCACACAGCATAAAGAGATTTATGAAATGAGTACACAGATGTGTCCAAGTCAATGGCAAACTTGGGAAATCTGTAAGGGGAAGGAAAGCATTGAATGCTTTAAGCAACAAAAAGGAGGCTTGTTTCATATGTGGTCGGTATGTAAAAGGCAGCCAAATATTGGAGAATGGTGTTGGGGTTAATTAGACAAACATATGAAATGAAGCTAGACGTAGACCCAGGTATATATTTAACTACATTAAATATAATGTCCTAGATGAAAAACATACAGATCTGTATGCCCTCACTATTTTATATGAGAAAACACGGAAAAGTAATTCATGTCTCCGAGACTGAACTACCACAAAAACTTTGAAAGCAACGTTAAATTATCAAATTGATAGTTCTCTTAAGGGGGAGCACTATATAAAGAAGTTGCAGAAATGGATCAGTGATCTGGTAGGCAGGTTTTAGAGGACTGGAGATAAAAATATATCGTTCAAAGTAATAGTCTATTTGTCAAGCTTCTGTACGTACACAATGTGCTGCATAATAATTTGCTTATTGGCTTTTTAGAGAGATGAAGTCTGGTGAGGTCATATTGGAAGCAAGTTCTTCAGAATAGCAGCAGAAACAACGTATGTACCTACTGTTTAGTAAGGAACACAGCTAAGAACTACCGTATTTTTTGCTCTATAAGACTCACTTTTTCCCTCCTAAAAAGTAAGGGGAAATGTGTGTGCATCTTATGGAGTGAATGCAGGCTGCGCAGCTATCACAGAAGCCAGAACAGCAAGAGGGATTGCTGCTTTCACTGCACAGCGATCCCTCTTGTTGTTTTGGCTTCTGAGATTCAGAATATTTTTTTTCTTGTTTTCCTCCTCCAAAAACTAGGTGCGTCTTGTGGTCTGGTGTGTCTTATAGAGCAAAAAATACGGGTAATTAACCATCTCTTGTCACAGCGCCCACCTCCATTCTCACAGAGGCCTGCCTATGGTGTTCACTGCAAAAATCTTAGGTAGTCAACAAAGACCTACTTTTTAAAAAATTAGCACTTTTTGTTTCTTTAGCATGGGCAGGAGCACTGAACTTCATAATGTGCACCTCCCAGATCTTGAACAGTTACGGGGCTTAAGCATGCCTTACCTCTCTTTGCTTCCATTTTCCTGTTCACCCCCCAAACCACCAGCATTCCATGTTTCAACTTCCCCAACCACAGATTTAATTGCTCAACGCACAAGCCCTGTGCATGCATTCAAAAGAACATGAATTCAAAGGACCATGCATTGTCATAGTGTACCAACTTTCCCTTTGCAGTTAAGCTCTCACACCATTTTTTGTACATGCGATCAAGGCTATAGTAGTCAATCTGAACTTCCAGTTCCTTTAGACCCCCCCTGGCAGTGAGAACTGTCTATAGAAAACAATGGCGAAATCCAGGATTTTAGTTTAGCTGCGACTGGGCAGCAATGTGTCCTCTTTGTCCCCCCCCACCTGCTGCCTCCCTAAACAAAGGGAGAGCAAAGAGAGGGATTTGGTGTTCAGCAGGAACCCCAAAGTTTCCTCTCCATGTAGCTGATGAGTTATGGGATGTTTAAAGAGAGATAAGAAACCTCTATAAGTTATTTGTGTTCTGTTTTTAGTTAGCTAGTTAGTTCACATGTCTGGGGAGTCCCACCCAAGGGTTTAGAAATCACTACCTTGTTTTGGTGTGGCGGCATTTCCCCTTTAACTGAGATCGTGAACTTGGGTTGTCAGTGGCCTGTTAAATAAAATGAGTGAATCACAATTATTCCCTGGAAAGAGCAAACAAACAAGCCAAGCTATAACTGCTTCACATTTATTTCCAGCAAGTGTTCAGGTTTACAAACACATTCAGACAGAATTTCAGTTCCTCAACAGAAGAAAGGAATCATTAAAATGCTTTAAGCTAGCTTATCACTGGAAAACCCACCTACTTTTCATTTACAGACACGCTTAACTATTACACTAGAATGTAACTTTGTGTTTTAATTTGTATTTAGGTGAATTTTGTTTCCTGTTCATAAACCAACCAGAATAGAAGACAGCAAGCATTTGAACATTTCTGAATGCCAAATTTAACAGAGCTCATCAATCCTATCTGATGTAGGCTCATGGACAAGTTGAACAGATTCCTTCCCAGCGCCCTCCATTCAATTGACAGTAATGTGGGCCACTTCCCACCCCGATCTGTTTGAAGGCACTTCTGTGTAGAACTTAGCAAGAAACTTGCATGAAGTCATGCCCTTGTTCCATGTAGAAAGCTGCATGTATGATCTGCATGCAGGTTACAGGTTACTGCCCACTCAGACGTGTCATCACACTGGATTTTGTCATGTGTTTAGCCACCCTAGTAAGGTATTTCCTAGACACACAACTAGGACATTTTTTTTTTTACAATTACATTCTTTTGTAACATGAGAGCCTTCAAAGTTAAACAAAAGGTTATTCATTGCTTTAAACAAACCTTTACATCTGGTAGTCATCATAATAAAGAACAGGAGCTGTCTCAGACAACCAGTTTCAATCACTAAAAGTACTTATTAAAATTAAGTGATTGAGCAGTTAGCAATAATAAAACCTTCTGCGCCCAAACACTTGTCATAAAATTTCTTCAAAATAAAAAATATTTTCAACATGATTAAAGAAGAACACTACAAAAGTGGCATGAAAGGACAGGCATTCTACTTTTTTGCTTATCTAGAGAAACAGCGCTTCCACTCTTCCCCTAGCCAAAACATTTCACAATGCATGTCTTTCCCCCCCATTTTGAAGAAAAAAGATAACAAGGAAACCTCCTTATTCCCATACTTTGCCTCTTTCAAATCAGAGGGGGCTAATGAAATGCTATCCTGAAAATACCTGCCTCAGTACTCCATTCTAAGTCTTCTTCTTTTTTAACCAACAGGTTATTTTCCTTCTACTGTTAAGGGAAAATATCACATTATTAATAAATCAGCACTGGCTTTATTGGCAAGTGCACTTGGTAGCAATCATATCTGCATATTCTTTGTACACAATTGATCCATCAGGCTCTACCTCCAAGACACTCAGGGGGCTGTATTCAGCAGGTATGCAGGAGGGCCTGGGGACAGAGGGGTTTATTTTTTCATGTATGAGGTTCTGTACCATTGAGTGCAGAGGAGAGCTAAAGCGATGCCTAAATACTCTTGGACAGTCACCTTTGCAATAGCGAGGATTGTATCTGTGTGGTGCAATTATCCACCTGTCCCAGCCCAGCTGGCTGAATTTCAGCCTGAAGTTGTGAAGCTTACAGTCATTTTGTGGGAAAAGAAACTGTTCGTAGTACTTACGTAAGTTGTCTATGGAAACTGATTTGTTTTCCTCTTGACCATCTCCATCTCTTCGGTGACGAGGCTTTCTTGAGCTCTGTTTGAGGTCTTTTCCTGCCTCTCCTCTGAGACCTGCGAAAGGACCCCTTTCCAGCCTAGCTTGCATGGAGTTCCTTCTCTTGTGCTTGAGAAAATCCCATGTAGGGTGAGCTTGCTCACTGGTGTCATTGAGGTACAGGAGAAGAGAAAGTGATGCCTGTGTCATATTAAAGGGAACCTTTTTGGAGTTGGAGGGCTGGTCATTCGGGCAAACAATATTCACAGCCATGTAAACGCTTCTATTGTTAGAGGCTATCAGAGGCCAGATAAAAGAGGTCACATCAATCTCAGCCCATTTGCGTCTAAGTTCAAAGTGGAAAGTCATGGCATGTTCAATATTGGGGTGTGCATGACCAGAGGCACCATCCATCTTTACAGCTAGATTACCTGTACACATAACAGCCCACGCTTTAGGAAATGGTTTATCAAATGAGTAGAGTAAGACCGACTTGACTAAGTGCTCCAAAGCAGTAACACGGTCCAAGCTGAAGAGGAAGTCTGGTGAATGAAGGTCTCCTGCCAAAAGAAAGAAAAAACACTTTGTACCAATGATAGCATTTTATTCGTAATATTATGTTATTTAAGCAGCAAATTCCTCACAACTCCAGCTTCCCCATAGCATTATAAGTATCAAGGAAGATTTCAGTTGTGTGCCTTACTCTAAAGATGCAGTTTATTCCGAGAGCAACCCCAGAATGTTTTAGAGGGGCCAAAAACTTTCATTTCTTTCTCTTAACTTTTCAGGTTTGTTCGACTTCCAAAAAGTTCAGAAACCAAGACGCAGCTTCTAGTTGGCTGCAGGAAGCTCCTGCAGCCAATCAGAAGCCACATTGGATGTTTGAGTTCCAAAGAACGTTTACAAACCGGAACACTAACTTTCAGGTTTGTGGCGTTCGGGGGGCCAAAATGTTCAGCTTGCAAGGTGTTCAGGTTCCAAGGTACGACTAATAGGCTTGGCGCCTAACAGTGCTCTCACACAGTGCTAAACAGATCTATATAAATGCCACCAAAATTATTATTATATTTATATCCCTATATATTTTCCACTAACAGGGACTCAAGGCAGCTTACAGCTAAAGTATAAACAGCTAAAAACATAGGGAAAAAAGCAATCATTAAACAATTGAATGCACACACTCTAATAAAACATACATATCATTCCAAAAAAAAAATCACAGCTCAATCCCTTTTCTTAAAAATGGGCAGTTCCCAAAAGCCTGTTGCAACAAAAAAGCCTTCACCTGCCAGCATAAGGACAACAAGGAAGGAGCCAGTCTAATTTCTCTAGCAAGGGAGCTGTAAAGTTTGGGAGCAGCCACCAAGAAGGCCCTCTTCCTGTGTCCCAAGCATGCTTGTGAGGGTGGTGGGACCAAGAGAAGGGCCTCCCCTGAAGATCTAAGAGCTCAGGCAGGTTCGCTTGAGAAACATGGTCTTTTGGTTAGCCTGGACTGAATCCACATAGGACTTGATATGTGACAACCTGCACTTTGAATTGTGCCCAGAAGCAGCCATATGCTCCCTATAACCAGTGCGTCACCAGTCTGGCTACAGGTGTTTGAGCAAGTTGCAGTTTCAAAGCACTTTTCAAAGGCAGCTCCATGAAGAGCACATTACAGTAATCCAAACTGTGGCCAGATGACCAGACCCATTCCGAGTTTTCTGCCAAAATTAAGATTGGCTTTATTACAGTCCCCACTTGGCCTATCTCACAAATAATTAAACAAAGCTCTTATACAATTTTGGATATCCACCCAATAGTAACATTAGAAATCCCGTAATAGAAATCCAGCGTGAAGATACACATTAGAAAAGGATAAATTCCCATTACTACATGCTTGGAAACATGAACTACTCATAGAGAAGATCCATGTGAACTTGACCAGAGAGCTTATTGACCTCTAAATGTTGCATACCTACACAGACACAAATATAGGTCCAACAAATTGTATTGTTTGTACCTTTATAAGAAGAACAGTACAGAAATTCCATTGATTTACAAGGGCAAGAAATCTACAGATGGGATAACAATTCAACCCCAAAGCACCATGTGTGTATGTGAGGGGTTTTTTTTGGGGGGGGGGATTGTCATCAAATATCTCCTCACTTACCTTTTGTTTGTCCTATGGTGGGGTGCTTGCCTTCAGCACATGGAGATAAGAGTCGGACTGTGTTATAGAGATGGTTTATCTTTGGGAATCCTTCTTTTGTAGTAGACATTTTATAAAGCCTCTTCATGTATCTCAGGGCTTTGGAATCCAGTTGTGGTCCTGGCACACAATCTCCCAACTCCTGCTGATGGTGGTCAGACAATAACTTGGAAGGAGTAGGCAACTGGCCATAGCCATTTTCTACATCTGGACAAAATAACAACACTGGAGGCAGCTCAGAGGCTTCTGACACCAGCGATGTCTGATATCCCCCTTCATCCTTGGGACTGGGGGAACACAAGATACCATAAAAAAGTAGCCTTAGAGACCACAGACAAACAAGTACTTCCCCAAAAATCTTCATGATGGGGATTTGTCGAAGCAAAGAAACCACCCTTTCCACATGCAGTTCTGGTCAGGTCAGTTCTGGTCTGGTCAGTTCTGGTTTCTTAAATAATATCCAGGTGTAATTCCTTTCTAACAAGGCATTAAAGAAAAAAACATACACCTGATGAGATAATCCAGTTTACTGATCATCTTAATCCTCCACCGTGTGTCTCTGCTTGTGAAATTGATTGCTAAGCCAGGTCTTCTCCACTCCAAGGCTTAACTAAGCTAACTAGGTAAGTATAGCAAATGCTGTAAACCCAAGCACACCTACCTGGAAGTAAGGCTGCAGGCCCTATATATACTTAGCTGGAAGTAACCTTAGTTGAACTAAATAAGGATTACTACAAAGTAGACTTGCATAGATTGTACTGTTTTGCTTGCTCCAAATTAACTAAATTGCACCTCATTCTGGAAATGTGCTTAGTTTTAGTACTGTAGTTGCAACATTTCATTGTACAGTGGTACCTCGGGTTAAGTACTTAATTCGTTCCGGAGGTCCGTTCTTAACCTGAAACTGTTCTTAACCTGAAGCACCACTTTAGCTAATGGGGCCTCCTGCTGCCGTGCCGCCGCCGCCGCCGTGCAATTTCTGTTCTCATCCTGAAGCAAAGTTCTTAACCCGAGGTACTATTTCTGGGTTAGCGGAGTCTGTAAACTGAAGCGTATGTAACCTGAAGCGTATGTAACCCGAGGTACCACTGTATAGTTGTGCACAACACCGTCACATATGGTTGCTGGTCTTTGATCTGAATTTTACCCCATCATCTTCCAAGAGAAGACAATGATATGTGTAGGACATCATGAAACGTGAGAGAGGTTGGAAAGCCAACGGGTCTTAACTATTTGATTTTGCTTTTCAGCCAAAGGGATAAAAAGGAATCAGGAAAGTAGCCCGTTTTTTAATTCTTAAAATTTTAGGGATTAATACTGCCTGTAATAATGGGCCAGTGAAACTACAACTTTTTTTAAAATCAACTAAGCATGTTTAAACCAAAATAAATGCCAGGAGGATGTCATCAAAGAGATTTCTCTGACCCGGAATGAAGAAAATCTTGACTAATCCATATAACGTTGATTGGGTTTCAGATATGTGTTGGGGGAGGGACTTTGAGGCAGAAATCCCAGGCTTCATCAGCAGAATGAGCGCGAGGGCTTCTCAAGTATGTGTGTGCTGGTTTGCTACATTTCAAAATAAGGTGCATTCATTCACATCTTAGGGGTTGGGGGAAAACTGTGATACAATTCAGTTCAGAGCCCAAAATTACTTAACTGCACCACTATATGGGACGCTGCTCTTGAAGACCCCTTGACTTTCAGAGGTTTCTTGTGAAGTTTGAGCAGAAAGCCACCGCATATAAAGTCATCTTTACTCTAGTGTAGTTCCCAATGTGTTCTACGGTGCTTACAGGTAATTGTGCATCAAATTAGTTTGGGGGTTTTATGACTGCTTATTATTCTGCTTTGTTGAAAGTATCTACATAGTTTGTTTTTATTGGTTTGTAGCCATTATCAAATGTTGATTTGAATATATGAGTAGAAGCAGTGTATTTTTTTCAGGGGGTACTCAAGTGTACACAGTACTGGCACCTCTTTTTGTTGTTAAAAAGTGTGGCACTTACTGTAACAACTTCATGGTGAGTACCGGCACCTATTTTTCTAGGGGGAAAAGCACTGAGTAGAAGCACAGTGAAAGTATTAAAAATAAACAAACCAGGATTGGAGCTGTGCAGCTTGAATTTATGTCTGTCCAATCAGAAGTCAGCCACATTAACTTTAACTTCTCTCTCAGAAGTGACTAGGCACTGTTTATTATGGGTATATATATATATATATATATATATATATATATATATTCCTTACTATCAGGTTGCTTCAAGACCATCAGCATTTTGTGAGAGGGATTCCACTGGAAACCAGGAATTTAGGTTTGCACAAGTAAAGTGTATTAAGGTGAAGTCATGCACAGATTTAGACAGCATTGTCATTACATGTGCTGATGACACGTAGCTCTATTTCTCCTTTAAATGATGGAGGGTGCGCTGAATTGATTTCTGGCTTTGGTAATGGACTAGATGAGAACCAGTAAGCTTAATCCACATATGACTGTTACACTGTTAGTTGGTGGTTCCCTAGACTGAATGAATGGGGTTCAGCCCGTTCTGGATTGGGTTGCAGTCCCGTGAAGCATTAGGCGTGCACCTTGGGTGTGCTGCTGGATTCACTGCTGTTGATGGGGGCATAAGAAGACTCCATGGCATGGAGTACCTTCTATCAGCTTCAGTTAGTGGTCCAGCTGAAGCCCTTTCTAAGTTGGGACAGCTTAGCTTCTGTTATCTCTCCTCTGGTATCCTCTAGGTTAGAACGCATTATATGTGGGGCAGCCTTTGAAGGGTGTTCAGAAGCTGCAGCTAATGCAGAATTCAGCAGCCAGATTGTTGACTGGGACTAGTATGGTTTGAGCATATAACTCTTATTTTGGCCTGACTGCATTGGCCATTGATTGACTTCTGCATTCCATGCAAAGAGCTGGTTTTGATTCATAAAGCCTTATGCAGCTGAGAACACCAATACTTCAAGGACTGCTGCTTCCTGTATTAATCTACATTAACCCTGGGTTTGTCATCAGAAACCTTATTTAATTTTTTTAATGAATTTGAATAATATTTTTTACAATCTGCAAGCTTTTCTTTGTGTGCCTCCTCTGTAAGAGGTTGCTTGAGTTCTCCAGGTGAGAGGGGACCACAGATTTCAACCACTGATTTCTGAAGCAGACCTGCAGATTAGGTTTGGACAAATCTGTCAATTTTGGCTTATCTCATTTTTCCTGTCTATAATTCAGTTTGCCACATTTCCCTATCAGTTTGCAGGTGTGTGTTTTGTTTTGTTTTATTAAAATCAGGATTTTAATGATCTTTGTACCCTAATATAAATACGGTATTTCAGTATGCGGTCTTGACTAAAATACATGTTTGCAATCAATTTTCTGTAACATTATACATTTTTGTGTGTTATTTTCATATATATATATATATATATATATATATATATATATGCACGTTTTATAAACATCATCCCTCAGTATAAAGATTTTTGAACATGTTAGATTAGAGAACTGCATTGCAAAATTCAAGAAATGTGAATTTCAAAGAATAACTGTATTTCAGCCTAAGCATTGTTTTGGAAGGTGTGAAATAAATAGATAGGTTTGCGCTGAGCTGCAAAACAAAACAAATTTCTTCTTCATTGTTACTGAAGATATGGGCAGAATTAGATTTTCACATAAAATAGTTGTAGTGCTAGCATTAAATAGCTTTGCCTATGTTGTTGATCATTGTGCCATAAATGACTTCAGTGCAGTTTGTTGATATGAATATACTTATGCCAATGTAGCGTTAATCGTTGCAGGGGTAACAGAATTATAGAGCTAGGAAGGATCTTGGGCTTCATCTAGTCCAAGCCTGCTGAGCACAGATCCTGCATTGTGCAGGTGCACTTTCTTGCCACCAGGGGACGCTGTAGTAAGTGTAGGAACATTCAGTTTGGAATGCAAATACAAAGTGTTTCTAAGGATGCTGCAGCCTTAAGGGCTTTTCTAGATATTCCTATGCATTACAAATATCTGTAAATTACCCATTTATTAAAGAGGATCCAGAGAAATTCATCAAGGTAGTTCTGTTGCAAAGATAACATTTTCCCCAACCCTCTATTTTGTTTCGGAGAAACTTTCCAGGAATTTTTTTCACTTTGTTCGTAAATACAGTGCTTGTGCTCACAAAGATCCACCAGTAGGTTAGCCTGAGTAACGTCTGAAGGTTGGATTGCTTTGCTGCAGGGTAACAGATATACAATGCTTTAAAATGGGGGAGATGCAGTAGCAAGGGGGATCACTTCTCTTCTTTTACTAATATGAATCCTAAAGATAAATAGAAGAAACAAGATTTTTAAAAATGGCAGGGTACTGTTCTGGTGAAGGAGTGAGAAATGGTAGTTCTATTGAATGTCGCCGCTTTTTTTTTGTCTCCCCCTTTTCATTTTTCAGGGTGGTATTAGATCTTTAAATATGTTTGAAAACAGAAATAAACCCAAAACATTTTAAAGACTGCAACATGGAGCAGGCATGAGAAGAGGGAGTTCTGTTACTCACAGATGCTACCCAGGTAAAGGTAAAAAGGTAAATGACCCCTGGACGGTTAAGTCTAGTCGAAGGAGACTATGGGGTTGCGGTGCTCATCTCGCTTTCAGGCCAAGGGAGACAGTATTTGTCCTCAGACAGCTTTCCGAGTCATGTGGCCAGCATGACTAAACCGCTTCTGGCACAACGGGGCACCGTGACAAAAACCAGAGCCATGGAAATGTCATTTCCCTTCCCGCCATAGCAGTACCTATTTATCTACTTGCACTGGCGTGCTTTTGAACTGCTAAGTTGGTAGGAGCTGGGACAGAGCGCGACAGGGTGAGCTCCCATTGCCAGGTTCCTTTACTTTCTTATTGGCATCCCAGGCATGACTGTAACTAACAAATTATATGAGGCTCTTCTTGAGGGTGCACCAGTGAAATTTCTCCATTGGCAAACATACACACCAAACCAAAAAACTCCAGCGGTTTTCAGATTTTGAAAAACTACAGCTGCTTTCAGAATTTGGAACATAGTGAAATTTGCATTCCACAAGGAGAGTTTGACCGGCAACGAAGTGAGGCAGGGTGGAATACAGATGTCTAGCTTTGTAGTTAATAGATCCACCATATGCAAAAACAATAAACAAAAATTGTTCATGAATTGCAGCCTGCAGTGAGCTGCTACTTAAAATGGCCTTCTAATAATAGTGTAAGAAGAAGCTGGGAGAGTTTGGGCACATGCAAATTGAAGATTTGCCACCATGAAGAAAGTCTACACCCTTTGTGGATTAAACCAAAATATGAAGAGCATGAGCTCAGTTCACTTTAAATTGGAAGGCTCCTTAAAGGTGCAAATCCCCTAGTAATGACTGGTTAAGTCCAGTCAAAAGCGACTATGGGGCTGCAGCACTCATGTCACTTCAGGCCGAGGGAGCCGGCGTTTGTCCACAGACAGCTTTCTGGGTCATGTGGCCAGCATGACTAAACTGCTTCTGGCACAACGGAACACCATGACGGAAACCAGACCGCACGGAAACACCGTTTACCTTCCCGCCACAGTGGTACCTATTTATCTACTTGCACTGGTGTGTTTTCGAACTGCGAGGTTGGCAGGAGCTGGGACAAAGCTACAGGAGCTCACCTCGTCATGGGGATTTGAACCGCTGACCTTCTGACTGGCAAGCCCAAGAGCCTCAGTGGTTTAGACCACAGCGCCACCCGCGGTACCCGGGTACACCCACAAACACATCCCTGTTCTTGCATAATTACAAAGGACTTGCTAGTGGTGGTGATGAGGAACTGCATTCTCCTGGAGACAATACATTGACATTTAAGTACCTGCTGGGAATTATTATTACATTTTCTAAATTTCTCTATCACTTACCCCAAAATACCCTGTGCCATGTGCAGAGTGCTGCATGGAGTTTAACAACAGAAGTGCTCTTCAAGGATTGACATCTCGACCCACGTTCCAGGTAAGTACCAACTGTAGGATTTCTGAATGGAAAAAGAAGGGAGCTGCTTTGTAAAGCCTGGAGAAAAGCTATTCTTCCCACCCTGCCCTCTGGTCTGCTAAGTAAGACTTGACAGACAGCAGTCTACCAGTGATGAGTCTCTTCACTGGCAGAACCCTATCTTTGGAACTGCCTCCTTAAGGAGATGTGTATGGCCTCGTCACTGCTGGTTTTCAGGAGAATTTTGAGGATGCTTTTATCCCAGCTCACATTTCATTAATGTGCTGTGCTTGAAAGCATTTGGCTGCTGGTGGTTTAAATTAATGGTTTTGAACAGTAATCTGTTGTTTTTATTGTGCTTCTGATGTTTTATGACTTTTAAAATTTCCTTTTATAGGCTGTCTTGTGAGGGCACTGTGCCCTGAAAGACAAGCCAGGAATTAATTTACATTTCCCTCCTCCCCGATTTGCTTCAGCAGAAGAATACATAAAATAACCCCCTTTCCTTGTCAGTTGTAACTTGATAAAAATGTCACTCCTTTCCTAAGTTTCTCCCCTCGTCATTTCCAAGAAAGACGCTCGTGTTCTGGGATGGCTTAATTACTGTTGTTGTTGTTTAGTCGTTTAGTGGTGTCCAACTCTTCATGACCTCATGGACCAGAGCACGCCAGGCACTCCTGTCTTCCACTGCCTTCCGCAGTTTGGTCAGACTCATGTTAGTAGCTTCGAGAACACTGTCCAACCATCTCGTCCTCTGTCGTCCCCTTCTCCTTGTGCCCTCAATCTTTCCCAACATCAGGGTCTTTTCCAGGGAGTCTTCTCTTCTCATGAGGTGGCCAAAGTGTTGGAGCCTCAGCTTCAGGATCTGTCCTTCCAGTGAGCACTCAGGGCTGATTTCCTTCAGAATGGATAGGTTTGATCTTCTTGCAGTCCATGGGACTCTCAAGAGTCTCCTCCAGCACCACTTCCATACATCACTACGTACTGGGAAAACCATAGCTTTAACTATACAAACCTTTGTCGGCAAGGTGATGTCTCTGCTTTTTAAGATGCTGTCTAGGTTTGTCATTGCTTTTCTCCCAAGAAGCAGGTGTCTTTTAATTTTGTGACTGCTGTCACCATCTGCAGTGATCATGGAACCCAAGAAAGTAAAATCTCTCACTGCCTCCATTTCTTCCCTTTCTATTTGCCAGGAGGTGATGGGCCCAGTAGCCATGATCTTCGTTTTTTTGATGTTGAGCTTCAGACCATATTTTGCGTTCTCCTCTTTCACCCTCATTAAAAGGTTCTTTAATTCCTCCTCACTTTCTGCCATCAAGGTTGTGTCATCTGCATATTTGAGGTTGTTGATATTTCTTCCGGCAATCTTGATTCCGGCTTGGCATTTATCCAGCCCAGCCTTTCGCATGATGAATTCTGCATATAAGTTAAATAAGCAGGGAGACAATATACAGCCTTGTCGTACTCCTTTCCCAATTTTGAACCAATCAGTTGTTCCATATCCAGTTCTAACTGTAGCTTCTTGTCCCTCATAGAGATTTCTCAGGAGACAGATGAGGTGATCAGGCACTCCCATTTCTTTAAGAACTTGCCATTGTTTGCTGTGGTCGACACAGTCAAATGCTTTTGTGTAGTCAATGAAACAGAAGTATATGTTTTTCTGGAAGTCTCTAGCTTTCTTCATAATCCAGCGCATGTTTGCAGTTTGGTCTCTGGTTCCTCTGCCCCTTCGAAATCCAGCTTGTACTTCTGGGAGTTCTCAGTCCACATACTGCTTAAGCCTGCCGTGTAGAATTTTAAGCATAACCTTGCTAGCGTGTGTAATGAGTGCAATTGTGCGGTAGTTGGAGCATTCTTTGGCACTTCCCTTCTTTGGGATTGGGATGTAGACTGATCTTCTCCAATCCTCTGGCCACTGCTGAGTTTTCCAAATTTGCTGGCATTTGAGTGTAGCACCTTGACAGCATCATCTTTTAAAATTTTAAATAGTACAGCTGGAATACCATCACTTCCACTGGCCTTGTTATTAGCAGTGCTTTCTAAGGCCCATTTGACTTCACTCTCCAGGATGTCTGGCTCAAGGTCAGCAACCACACTACCTGGGGTGTACGAGACATCCATTTCTTTCTGGTATAATTCCTCTGTGTATTCTTCCCACCTCTTCTTGATGTCTTCTGCTTCTGTTAGGTCCTTACCACGTTTGTCCTTTATTATGGTAATCTTTGTATGAAATGTTCCTTTCATATCTCCAGTTTTCTTGAACAGATGTCTGGTTTTTCCTATTCTATTGTTTTCCCCTATTACTTTGCATTGCTCATTTAATAAGGCCTTCTTGTCTCTCCTTGCTATGTTTTGGAAATCTGCATTCAATTTCCTGTATCTTTCTCTATCTCCCTTGCATTTTGCTTGACTTCTCTCCCCCGCTATTTGTAAGGCCTCGTTGGACAGCCACTTTGCTTTCTTGCATTTCCTTTCCCTTGGGATGGTTTTAGTTGCTGCCTCCTGTATAATGTTGCGAGCCTCCACCTATAGTTCTTCAGGCACTCTGTCCACCAAATCTAAATCCTTAAACCTGTTCCTCACTTCCACTGTGTATTCATAAGGGATTTGATTTAGATTGTCTCTTACTGGCCCAGTGGTTTTTCCTACTTTCTTCAATTTAAGCTCAGGATTACATTTGGCAGATTGAATGCACCTGCAACCCCCCAAAAGGTGGCAGAACAACTTCTGTCTATGGATTTTTTTCACAGCTGATTCAATTAGGAAACCTGGAAAAGGGTATTGCTTCTGTATTTGAAAGTTTGCGTGTAATAAAGCAACAGCTATCAGCCCGATTTCTCATACCCAAACATTTTTCTCCTCAGTTCTGCTTTCTGGAAGGTTGATAGTTGCTACCCTAACATGGCTGTTCTGACTTCAGTATAGGGATGTGTGAATCTGTCCATTTCAGTTTCTCACTATTCAAATCTTAAAGTCAGTCCTCCCCATTTCCACATGGTTTCATTGGGAATTTGGGTTCTTTTTTTTTTTAATACTCCTGAAAATCCTCCAGCATCTTACTGTAAACCAAATTTTCCTAATACACACAGGTATGCGAACACTCACTATACGAAACTCCAGAAAACCTGGAGACAAACTTTGTCTTTGCGATTACTGGATTGCTTAGTGACTGTGCTGTGTTATGTAGTCAAAGCTATCAAGGGATAAACAGCTTTACTGATTATAGTAACAGACTCTGGTCATCCTTATTTGTTTCCATTAACTAAACTATCTACAGATGTTGGTCAGGAGCCTGAGCATAGGGGCAAGGTTGGTGACCAGGCTGTGGGCCAGTAAAGTTCACTGAGCCTTTTTTCCCCTAAGGCAAAGTGACTGGTGCGACTCAAAGGGGGTGTCAGTCTCGTGGAGCAGATGGAGATGGGGAGGGCGAGAGACTGGGCTGATCCATTCTTCCTCTTGTTCCATGGTTTTCGCCAAGGGAAAACTGCTCTTCAGTGCTCAGTTGAAATAAACAGATCAGGTTTCTACAGATTTCCATTTGTTCTGATGTAGAGCTAAAGAGTGGGCTTTCCTTGGGAAAGAGCAGGGCAAGGGGGAAATCTCTCAGACTCATGCTTTCTAGGCACGGGACAAGCGGAAGTGTGAACGAGCCGTGTCAGGCAGATCTAGACTGCAGGGAAGCAGTGTGTCCCTGACCTTTCCATAGCGAGATAACACAGGACTGATGCTACGCACACCCAGGAAGGGATGTCTATGGCTCTAAACCAATCACAGCCTAAGGGATCCCTAAAGCAAGGAGGTGAGATGAGGAAGTTCTGCACTTCTTTTGGCCTTTTGCATTGGGCAAATATTTATCTGTAGCATATATTTTATCTATTAGAATATAAAAATTTTATTTTTATGTTTCGGTAACCCAGAATTGAGCATTTTTCTTTAGCTCTACCTTTTTGAATTTGTTAGGGAGAGTGGAACTTGCTGCCCCCCACCTCCCACATTTTCTTTCTCTTCATAGGTAACCCTCTGAAATACTAGTTCACAGGGTCGTCTTATGAAAATTCAAACTGCTGCAAACGTATCTGTTGAGCGCTTTCCTTCCCATTAGTTACTGCATTCCTTAACATTCCACAGACCTCATGAGATCTGCTTTCTTTTGCTAATGAAAGGGAATGGCACTGTTGCAAAAGTAGCTTTTCATTTCCCCCCTCCTAACTGCAAGGCTTTATGGGCAATCTGCGCAAGGCAGTAATTTACTTTCTTGTTAGGGCACTTAAGAAGGGTCATAAGTGTGCCCTATGCAAGAACCAAAAGACACTGTTGCAACAGGTAAGAAAGTGGGGGCAGGCAAGGTTAGCAGTGATAATGCCACCTGTTGCATCCTTTCCTTTGAGTCAAATTCCGAGCCACTTAAGCCAGTGATTTGCTGAGCTCTCCCTAGACAAGAAACAGTCCATTCATATGCCAGGCTGTCAGCAGAGCCTACTTGCCGTAATGCTCATTGACTGGTGAAGGTTTGATTCTTATCACAAAACATTCCTTCCTGCAACTTCAAGTCATATGCAGCTCAGTGGAGAAGTCTAGTGGGGACAGGCAGATTGTGATTCTGGCTGCAAAGATGCCCGTTACTACAAGGAAAATTGGGGCATGTCCCACGTGAGGATTTGATTTAGAAAGATGATCTGTAGTTCCAAAATCTTTAGACAAAAGTTCTCAAGCTGTATTCTTTGAACCACACAGCATTATACTGACATTAGAGGTTGTTCTAGGAGGGTGGCAGGTATTAGTTAAATCCTCAAACCGCAATGGAAAGATAATAAAATCCAAAGATTAAAATATATAAACACAGGCCATGGTTCTAATCAAATCCAGAGATTAAAATGTATAACCCAGTCCACTTGCTGGTGTCCTTGCAAATGTTTATATTAAGAGAGGGTATGCATCCACTGGCAAATGCAACAACACTTTTTGGCCCTATGGGCGAAGTGTTTAGGATGTTATAGTAACCTCACTGCTTCTCAAAATGTATGAAACTGTACATCATAGCTTACTCTGTATTTTCACATCAACCTAGAAAACTCACCAGCACTCACCAGCACTCACCAGCATCAGCCCCTTATTTAATTTGTTTAGTGCACTACACTATTTATTATTATTATTTTTTAAAATATGGATTTTTATATTCTGTGTTTGGTACTACCCTTAACACAGTGGCTACGAGTAACCTAAGGCTGCAAGGCTCTTTTAAATCAGAGCTTTTTCAGTGTTGATGTCAGGCATGGGTAGGCAAACTAAGGCCTGGGGGCCAGATCTGGCCCAATCGCCTTCTAAATCCGGCCCGTGGATGGTTCGGGAATCAGCGTGTTTTTACATGAGTAGAATGTGTCCTTTTATTTAAAAAGCATCTCTGGGTTATTTGTGAGACCTGCCTGGTGTTTTTACATGAGTAGAATGTGTGCTTTTATTTAAAATGCATCTTTGGGTTATTTGTGGGGCATAGGAATTCATTCATATATTTTTTTTCAAAATACAGTCCGGCCCCCACAAGGTCTGAGGGACAGTGGACAGGCCACCTGCTGAAAAAGTTTGCTGACCCCTGATCAGGTTTGTGGAGCTGCTTGCTTGTGAAGCTCTGCCAGACTTCCTCCTTTTTAAACTGGAGGCAGATACTCCATTTATTCCAGTCAGCTTTAAAAGTATGAACTGTGTTTTACAGTGCAATCTTATACCTGTCAGTTCAGAAATATGTCCCATGGAGTTCATTGAGACATGCTTCCAGATAAGGTTTAGGATTAGAACCTCACTCTGTTAATGTTGTTTTTGTTGTTGTCGTCTGTTTTAAGGCTTTAAGGTTTATCATATTATTTGATGTAATTTGCGCTATTGTAGAAAAATGTATTGGTTGTGTTTTGGCAGAAAAGCAGTATGAAAATATTAAACTAGATACAATTTTATTAATGATAAAAATGACCTAATGGATAGGTAGGGTGTTCAGTGTGTCCTTAGGACAACATGCTTTTCAATTGTGTACTACAGTGATGTTGTGTTTTAGGATACCTCTAAATGTGCAGTAGTGGAGTAATGGACATGACTCTGTACAAGAGGCTACAGACCACCCCTACAAAAGTCAGAAGTCTATGCATGTACACATCTCTTCATTCCCCATCCAAGCAAGCAAGTGGATAATCATACTCCAAGGATGCATTTTGGTCACATAAAAGCCCACGGAGCAGAACCAGTGAGAGATACAGCCTAGGGAGAAGGGTGCAGTCAGGGGAGAGTTGTGAGGGCCAGACAGAGGCCTGGAGGGCTCCAATTGGCACTGGGCTTGAGGGTCTCCAGCCTGATTTAGTATGTGGTGAAGTGGGATATATTTAGCTCCACCCTCTTATTAAACACACCTGATTAAAAAGTTAGAGTTTAGACATCTTGCTTAGTCAGAACTACTCCCCCCCTCCTTTAACTTCACATACTTTCTTATCAGTAGAAGTATTTACTACATTGTCAGCCTCTCTACAGGAGGAAATACATTTTTCCCAAGCACCTTTTATACCAAGTCAAAGACTTGTTCTGCAGCTTGGTTAAATATTATCCGATTCTTGTAATACATCAGTTCTCAAGTACAAATGTGAGATTCACATGAAAGCTCTTTCTCAGGGTGCCTTAGGCTCAGTCCTATACCCATTTACCCAAGTGTAAGTCCCATTGAACTGAGTACACATGCCTAAGATTGCGCTGTAAGTATTTAGTGTGTCATTGTCATGCTTTCCACTTTTATGGGGCATCCATATGATGGCGTCATCAAATTGTTGTGGTCCTGTGTTTTCCTACGCTGCTTCCATCCTTTCTCAGACTGCCTTCCAAAAAGACTTGTCAAATCTGACTCCCCCCCCCCAAATGGAACAGTCACTCTCTCTGCTGCTTTAGATTGCTTTAGACTACCCGTCCAACCCTTCTAAGAGACATGTTTCTGACATGTGCAGAGATATATCAGGCAGGGTGAACCTATTGCCATTTCTGTGCACCTTCACAGGCTGGGCGCCATTTTATTATCATGCTTATTTTTAAATTCAGTCTTTTAATTAGAGCTATAATGTCTCCAGCTATATTTTTAAAGGAAATATTTGTGCAATATTGCTGAAATGAAATATCATTGGCATGTTCAAGTGGGGGGTGGGGTGGAATGACTATAATAACCTTCGCTACCTTTTTGGCTGCTGCCATTTTAGCAATATATTAATTCACACCCCACCCCGTGTATGAAATTTGCCCTAAAATGCACTCTAATAATTTTTGACGTCCTGAAAGTAATCACAAAATTGTAATTTAAATAAGCATATTCATGCAAATTAAAGAATAGAATTTAGAAATTGGTGTGCAGTGGAGGGAGTTTGTTCAGGGGAATGTACACCCCCCAAAAAGTGCTATGCCCCATTCCGAAGTGTGGAAAGTCAATTGCAATTCCACTTGTATCTTACAGCAGAGAAGCAGTGATTGGTACAGCTCCTAGCTGCATCCATCCAGATACATCTCCAAACAGCTTTATTCATACCTTATGGAGCAAAATCCAAATGAGGCCCATGGGTTTCAAGAGTTCATTATCCATAGCTTAATGTGAATATACCTGTGTTTTGAGTAAGCTGGGAGGTTTTTCTGCTAAAGAGACATAGGTAAATCTGGTTCTTATTCTGTATCTAGAATATTACGATTTTTGTTTGTGAGAACAATCCCAAAAGCTACACCCATGAGAAGAATACAAAGCAAATTGTTTATAAGACAGGCTAATGACCCATCTGGTTCATTATTGCCTACCTGGGCTGGCAGCGCCTCTCCAAAATCTCAGGAAGACCTTATTCCAAGCTCTGTTGCATGAAAACTTTTTGCTGGATCTGCTGAGGTTGAACGTGAGGTCTCACACCTGCAATGCAATTGCTACTGCACAGCTGCAGCCCCTCCCAGTGGTTATTTATACCTTGGAGTTTCACTTTTTGTTGTCTTAATTCTGGACCACTGAATTCAAATACATACCTGTCGGACACCTGCGTAGATAGGAGTATGAATTCTTCATACACCATGATTTTCCTCGTGCATATAATTTGCAGGGGTACTTTTGTGAACAAACACCATAATTAGGAAAGCAACCATTAGCTGGCCATCCTCTTTAGAAAGGCCTAACTTGTGCCTCTGCACTCCAAATATATTCCTTACAAAGAGCTGGAAACATTCCTATCAAAATGTTGCTAATGTCTGGCAAGTAGAGAGAGAGAAAAGAATAAACAAGGAAGTAATAAAAGACTCTTTTCCCTCAGAAACAAATGAGTCATGTGAGGTCTATACTATAAGCAGAGAGCATTATGAATGTGCGGCTGCCCTGTGTGCTGTTTCAATACCTTAAAAGATTCTAGTTACTAACTGAGCCTTGAGCTGGACTGTAATCAGTGGCGTAAATCCCCCAGTTTATCCTTTTGTCCAGTGCTGGCGGGTGCTTTCCCTTTTCTCTTTTGCATGAGGAGATCTGGGTCAGGCTGAGACGCTTTTACTCTGAAGCCAGAGTTTCAGGTTCATTATTCTAACCCCACCTACTTCCCCATGATTGGACAGGGAATCCTTCCAATTACCTTTATGATCTAAAAGTAGCTAGGGGAACCAAAGAAAACTCAAAAGAAGCAGAGTCCTCTCTCACTGTGCTTTCGGAAATTGCACTCCTGTGTGGGAAGAGAGTTAAAGGAATAACAGCAACATTTTGCTGCTTGCCAGCACTCCAAGGGAAACAATGCTGTCTGTCAAAACCTCGATCTCTTTCAGCCAACAGCTTGGGAAGTACAGTTAAAACAGAAGCAGCACCAAATGATGGCGAGCAGGTAATTATGACTGGTTTTTGTCAAGGGTTTGCTTGACAGCCTATCTTTAGAAATGACAAATTCGGTCGGGGAGAGAAATGACATATGGTATAGACATGATATTGATTGGTTCTGATTCCTGGTTATGCGTGTACACATCTGGAGGCAATAAATCATTAAGGAAGGTGAATGGGATTTACAGAGGAAGGTGGATTTGAAACTGCCAGTGGGAGATTGAGAAAGGCATTCTGTTTTCTTCTTACACAGTTTAGAGTTCAGTGACGTGGTACTTCAGGACGCAAAATGTGTAACTGACCATTTGAACCCAGTTTGTTGCATTTTTTTTAATGTGAAAAAATGTTAGCAGTGCAAGGAAGTTGTGTTCTTGTTTGAAACCTCAGGAAAATAGAGGTGAAAACCATAAAGAATGGATTGAAATTCTGTGGGGCTTTTTTTTTATTTGTATTGGAGCTATAGCTGACTTGCTTTTATAGAATTTGAATAAAAGTAAAAAAAAAAAAATTGCAGCGTTGTCTGTGCTAGCCTTATATAGTAAGATTATATCTTGTCTAGAGTAAGAGTCCTTTATTAATTTAGAATGAGCTAGGCTAAAATTCGGAACCACTTTGGCCCTATACCTGGATTAATTCATTCCAGAGATGTTTTACTGACTGCGGTAGGATCACTTAAGAGTCAGTACAGGGCTGCAGCCATCAGATTTGCCACATTTCCCTCAATATGCACCAGTTGGAAGCTAAATGGAAGCTTTATTATTCATTCGCAAAGCATTTGTAACAATTGCAAGGGCAGCAGTTACCTTTTCCATTACAGCTGTGTGATGCAGGGATCCATTAATGGGATTCTCTCCTGCTGCTGCCAAGGAAATAAGCAGAGCTGTGTAGAAACAGCCACTCCGTCTCGACTAAAAACTTCAGGGAATAAAGGCTAGCAATTCGAGATTGTGTAAACTTTTGCACAATTTTGGAACGAAAGAAATATCCACATCGGCTGAGAGCCTACATATAGGAGCAGGGCTGGCCCAAGACATTTTGGCACCTGAGGTGGGCTCCAAAATGGCACCCCACCCTCGTCGCAAAGGAAGAAGGAGTGAGGGGAGATCTACATCAGGAACAAGGGGGAGGGAGGAGAAAGATTGGCATTGGGATCTGCTACCCCTGTGAATCCTGCCTCCAGAGGCTATTACCTTGCCTCTTGAATCAGCTGGCACTGAATAAAGATCTACATTGGGATCTGCTGCCCCAGTAGACCCTGCTGCCTGAGGCAGTTGCCTTACCTTGCCTCATGGGTGGGCCGGTCCTATACAGGAGTCTCATATCTGCTTTGAGAAAAGCAGGTTATAGCAGAATAACAGTGCCTTCTACCAGCTTTGGCTAGTAGCCCAAGTGCAACCCTATCTAGATGAGGATAACATGCCTTCAGTGATCTATGCCCTGGTAACCTCACCACTGGATTACTGCAACGTTTTAGTGGACCTGCAACTGCAGCTGGTGCAGAATTCAGCAGCCAGATTATTGAAAGGAACCACACAGTCCAAATGCATAAATCCAGTACTGCGCTGGCTGCTAATTTGTTTCTGGGCCCAATTCAAGGGGCTGGTGTCAACCTATAAAACCTTATGTGGCTCAGGTTCTTTGTGCCTTGTGGAAAACTTTTCTGCATATGAGCCTGCCTGGATCCTGTGGTCAGCATTGCAGGTGCTTCTCTGTATGCTTCCAGCCAGCGAGGGTTCAGAGGGCAGTGAGAAGATTGTGGGTCTTGTTAGGAGTGGCCCCCTGTCTTTGGAATGCTCTCCCCAGGTATTCCTGGTGCCAACACTGACAAATTTTCAGTGTCAAGCAAATCTATTTCTTGCTCCCTAGGTATGTATTTTGTTTGCAACAGCTAGTGGTATTCTCTTCTTTGGGGGCTTTTTCTGGGAGTTAGATCTGAGTTGTGTGTGGAAGGATTGTTTTTCTGATTTGATTAGCTTGTGTTGCATGCTGATTTTAAATATGTTGTATATTTTACTAATATTTGTGCGTTTGAGACATTTGTGTAAAATGGCTAAACTCAGTAATGAAAATGAGAGATTTGCTGTTCAGTCCTTTGCATATTTACTCAGAAGTAAATTCCATTATGTCCAATAGGCCTTATTCCCTGGTTGGCATACATAGGCTATCTGACTTAATCTGTGACTGGGTTGTGTGATCATTGCAAGGAAACTTTAAACAGATATGCAATAATCACTTTTTCAAAAAAGAAGTTAAAAACATTTCAATCATATTCAAAAACCACCTATTTCACTTAATGTAGTTCTGCTTTCAAGTGGAAATACCATACAAAAATACCATACAAACCCATTCGAAAGATTTTTGGGGAATTAATGATTAAAATTAATCCTGTTTCACTAAACTGAAGATGCATAAACTCAAGGAGAAATTTTACTGGTATTAAAAAAAAATAGTCAATAAATTTATATCCTGCTTTTTAGATTTTCTTTTGACAAGGTGGCAAACAGTAATACATAAGTTAAACAATATATAACACTATATACAACACTGCAATAAAACACAGAATATAAAAACAAAATACTCATAAGAGGAATAATAGGAATCAACCAGTCCAAGTCTATAATTCTCAAGGTTTTACTGACTTTACTCTGGTTGGAAAAAGTTCTACAACCAAAATTGTTAAATTGCATCAGATAAGATATTGGTCTCAGTTAGAAACTTTGTATAGGAGGTATGGGCTTCTAACAAGGATGTTATTTCAGTAATGATTGAGAGTCTGAGAAAGCTTTAGAGGCCCACTTTTGGATGTATTAAATATTAAACTGCAAAAGCAGTGTATTTTTAAGTGCATTTGTTATGAAAGGTTAAAAATACCCACCACAGCTATAGCAGTAGCAATGCATTATCATCAAAGGTTAAACAGGTTGAAGCAAAGGCATTTCTGCCCTGGAATGCATACCGAAAATCAGCTCATTAACTGGTTGATAAAATTATTTTAATATGGGACCTGGGATAGCATTAAACTACCCATTAATATAATGATTTCTGCTTGTGAAATAGAAATTTCCCCCACTCCCCTGGTGTGCCCTATGCCCCCACGATCTGCTTGAGGGGGTTGGGAGAACTTGTAGAACAGATTAATGGGTATGCAGAAGGAAGAGGGAGATGGGACCAAATTACGCACTGTCAAAAATGGAGAACAAAAGAAGGCACAGGGATGCATAAAGTGAACATATGCTAATTTATATGTAAAGATGCACATTTAGAAATAATTACTATGATTTTAATAGAAATAGATATCACCATTGTTGGGGAGACTGTAACCAAGGAGACTTGCATGCCTGCTAAGGATAGACAAATCTGTCGATTTCGGTTTCTACCAATTCCTTGTTTTTACATTCTTAAGTTTAATTCTACCCATTTCCACATCAGTCTGTTTGTTTTAAAGTCAGCATCAAATTCGTATGCGTTTTTGCATACAATTTTGCCGGATACACACATAATTGCAAGTTATTTTATCTAACATAGTGCATTTCTGTACATTATGTTTTACTAGTATGAGCATTTTGGTGTGTGCGCACTTTCTCGTAATATATGCTTCATTGTACTGAGGGGGAGGGGTGTGAGTTGGAGAACTTTTCATTGAAAAATTCAGAGAAGTGCAAATTTCCCAGGCTTTTAAAGTTCTGAGTTTCATCTGCATTCATCTGCTATTTTTAATTGCTGGTTTCTTTATAAGTTTTTTCTTCTGATTTTATCATTTTGTTTCTGATTTTGTATGTATTTTGTTGTGAGCTGCTCTGGGAACCATTTGACTGAAGGTCGGTATATAAGGTTATATACAGTGTATAGAAGAAGTAATGGCCAAACTTTGAATTAAGTGAAAGGTCCATGATTGAATTGATCTGTGTTTTATTTTTATTGAAAAGCAACTGGCAGGGGAAGGCTGCCTCCAAATTTGATTGGAGCTGTGGGTTAGGGGATGGATGCTGTATAATTTCCCAACCTAAATGATGAAATAACCTAATTTAAGGAGGGTGTGTGTGATTTTAGACTACAGGGGGAAAAGGTTAAGCACCACAACTCCAATCAAATTTGAACCCCATCCCCCACCCCATGCACAGCTGCTTTTAAGTAAAAAAACAACAACATTGGTACCTCCAACATAATGATCATGGAGCTTGTGTAAGAAGCATGGATCTCCTGTGTAATGTGTAGTTTGGTCTGTAGCTGGCCAGGAATATAGGATGCTTTTGAGGACTACTAACCCTGGTCTGAACCATGACAAGGATTATGGCCCTCTGCTCGCAAGTGGTCCCCTAGCCTTTAACATGCATGTTAGAGGGGTTGTGGGACACAACATATTCTCGCCATCTGTATCTGAAACAACAGCAAATGTGTTGCAGGTACTCGTGCTCTTTGTATGTGGCCTCATCCAGGGCAAATGCAGTTATGCCAGTGACATTGTCATCTCCTGCTTTAAGAGTAGAAAGTTGAAGAATACTTCTTGTGCCAGAATTGGGAACCCAATGGCTGCTTTTAGATGATCATATCTCTGTTTAATAAACCAAGATATGAATGAGCCTTTATTTGTTTCTCCGTTAAGTTTGAGGTACTATTGTCAGGTAATTAAAATCCATGTAGTTCTTCTGAGGCCAGCAAAACAGACGTATTTTGATCGTATCTTCATCTGCATGTCAGGAAACAAACAAGAATGTGTCATTTTGCTTTGTGTCTCCTTTTCCCTTCACTAAAAACCCTACTTGATTTCAGATGACATTGGCAATGTGTGTGGCAAAGGAAAGCTGCATAGTTCTGATTTAAATTGTTCTGTTGTCAGCACTCCTTGCCCACCTTTCATCACCATTTGTGCAGTGAGATCAGAGAGGGTCAACACAGACTTCTTGGTTTATGTGGGTAAGTGGCATGTGAGAAATTAAGTAACTGCAACTGTGGGTGGGTCTCATGTCTACAGACATCCCTGAAAGATGCCCTTTGGCTTCAGAGGCCTCCAAAAGGCTTTTAAATAATAAACACTGTGGAATGTTAATGTACTCCTTGTATACATGAAAATGTAAATAAATGCTGTTCTGGTATTTTATAAATAACTCCCACATCTGGGGAAAAGCTGGATTGCCCAAAGGAGGGTAAACTGGAGTGACCACACAGGGTGAAACTATACTGCTGTCCACTTTAATAGTAAAACTTGCATTGACTTAAGGGATGAACAGGATTTTTACACGAGGGCTCAGCTTTATTACAGATAAATTGTCACTTGATACAAATGAGCATTGGTCCATTTTCTGCAATGTTTACCCCTTGGAACACAATCAACCACAAAGTTGCCTTTTACATGTTCCACTGAGAAATGAATGGTGAATCCTTTGCATATCAGGGAGATTCATGTGTACACTAGAACTTCTACTGAGGTTTATGCTGAAAGGTTTGCTGAGTGAGCATCTCTTTCAATGGTTCATAAGATTCAATAAAATGTGGGCTTGGCTCCAACTATTCAGATCTAGTTTTTAGTAAGGTCCTCTTTTACTTTTGTCTAGAAATCATCAACCCGTCAGCATGATCATGCTTTATATTCCATTTTTTCCTGGCAAACAAGAGCTAACGCTACAATGATGCTTTCTTCCTCATTGACTCTGGCATTCAGAATAAATAGGAATGCTGGCCAACAACCCTGCCACAAAAATTTATTGTCCTGTGTCCACTGTCTTTTAAAGTATGCCTTTTCCTTAAAAAAACAATCATTTTTAAAAAGTGCCCATTTTTAATTTGTTAAAGAGGCCCATCCAAATCATGCTACCCTACTGCGGTAGCCATCAACTCCATGGTGGTATAAGAAAACCTAAATGGATGAACTGCATGCCAAGTAAGAATTTCAAACACTCAGAGCTCAGTTTTCTCCAGGAATGTTTGTTTTGTAGCAAAAAAAGAGATGATTCCATCTTCCTGCCTCATATTTGCAGCAGGCACATGTTCTGCATTACTAGGGGATTTGTACCTTTAAGGAGCCTTCCAATTTAAAGTGAACTGAGCTCATGCTCCTCATATTTTGGTTTAATCCACAAAGGGTGTAGACTTTCTTCATGGTGGCAAATCTTCAATTTGCATGTGCCCAAACTCTCCCAGCTTCTTCTTACACTATTATTAGAAGGCCATTTTAAGTAGCAGCTCACTGCAGGCTGCAATTCATGAACAGTTTTTGTTTATTGTTTTTGCATATGGTGGATCTATTAACTACAAAGCTAGACATCTGTATTCCACCCTGCCTCACTTCGTTGCCGGTCAAACTCTCCTTGTGGAATGCAAATTTCACTATGATCCAAATTCTGAAAGCAGCTGTAGTTTTTCAAAATCTGAAAACAGCTGGAGTTTTTTGGTTTGGTGTGTATGTTTGCCAATAGAGAAATTTCACTGGTGCACCCTCAAGAAGAGCCTCATATAATTTGTTAGTTACAGTCATGCCTGGGATGCCAATGAGAAAGTAAAGGAACCTGGCAATGGGAGCTCACCCTGTCATGCTCTGTCCCAGCTCCTGCCAACCTAGCAGTTCAAAAGCACGCCAGCGCAAGCAGATAAATAGGTACCACTGTGGCGGGAAGAGAAACGACATTTCCATGCTCTCTGGTTTCTGTCACAGTGTTCCCTTGCGCCAGAAGTGGTTTAGTCATGCTGGCCACATGACCTGGAAAGCTGTCTGAGGACAAATGCTGTCTCCCTCGGCCTGAAAGCAAGATGAGCTCTGCAAACCCATAGTCGCCTTTGACTGGACTTAACTGTCCAGGGGTCCTTTACCTTACCTTTTTTTATAGGAACCTGGCACTTAAGAACAGAAGAGGAGCTTTGTAGGTCTACTGAGGGACCATCTGCTAGGGACATTAATTGGGTGTACGTCCTGACAGGCAGGGTTTCAAATAGAATTCTATTAGTGGAGCCTCACATCTGGGTTATTGATTGACACCTGTTTTGAAGCTGATACTGATGAAATAAAGACCACAAATTGGGCTTTGGCAAAGATGATAAAACCAACCACTCTTAACAACAAAACCTAGCCATGGTCATGGCTGGATTATCTTTCATTTGGCTCGAAGAAAGGTGCTTGATTGCCGTGGTTGTCTTTTTCCCTTTCTGGGGGGATTAAATAAATAAATCCCACTTGTGCTCTACACATGCAAAGCTTCTACATTTCAGCCTGTAACCCATAAATCCACTTCCTGGCACCAGAAACCTGGCCCAGGCACAATAGAAACTTAGGTCTGGCTTTTTCACTAGCTCTTGTTTACTTGGCCCGAATTTCAGCTTTGTAATGAGTTTCAGATTTCAGGACAGAAGTGAACAGGTAGATTCCACTTCCTGCCTCATCTCAGGGGACTGGAGAATGGTGTCCCTTTTTATTTCAGGCCACCAGTTTAAATCCAACCCATGCTGCTGCTGTTTGACTCTTATCACATTGGCATCCAAGAGGCAGATTTAGGATGCCTAGTTGCCCCTGTGATGAACAGAAGTGACACATCTACCCAAGAGGCATTGAAAGAAGACCACAAGGCTCTTTTATTTCACATTGTTTCCCTGTAGGAGCCTGTTCCCGTGACACAAGATGCCCGTCAAACTTCAGCTATTCAAATGGCTGTGACATCTTGCATGCCAGCTACAGTAATACAACTTTAATGTCCTGTTCTATATTTGGCACAATGTTCTCGCTTGGGGGACTTCAACAAGTTGCAACTTTTAAATTGCAGTTGGAAGTGGCAAGGCTTTTTTCCCACCCCACCCACTTCTAGTTAAGCAGGTCAAAAAAATAACAAGGATTACTTGGTGACCCAAGGTTGTAGTTCATGCAGCTACACGAAGAAGAAAAAATGCACCTGACTGACCTCATGTTCATTTCACCTGGAAAGGGAGCACTTTGTACACTAATGGAACTAAATGTTACAGCAGACACCAAGTCTTTTTTAGCTCCTGTAATCCACATTGATGCTGCTATATCAGCAAGTCTGCCTATAGCTTGTCAGAAAGTGAGAGGAAAAGTGGGGTGGCCTCACATACTCTAGGTCTACCCACCACTGGGATATAGGTTCTGGCCAGTTATGTTCCTGACAAGCAGAAAAAGGTTGTTCATCCCTGATCTAGAAGATTATTTTATGCAAAAGAAGAGTGTCCCTTTGAAAGAGTACCTATTATTTGGATTATTAGTTCATTCTGTCCAAAGGAACATGGGAATAACAACAGTTTCTTCACCATTTTAACACGTGTGATCCAATAGTGAGTGAATGTGATGTTTACGAGGATGGCTGCTGTGGTTGGGGAAAGGGGCCTATTTTCTAAAAAAATAATCCTGAAGATAGGATGAGAATTCCCTCAAAAGAGCCACTCTTCCCAGAAACATTAATCTGACTGACTGACTGCTGTTTAAATTCCATTGCCTACCCTGTCTTCACTTAAATCCATATTCTTCAACAGGTTGTTTTAAAAATATGTTTTCCATCTTAGATGCTAATGTATTTCTGGGAGAACTGGAATTTGACTAATCTTTCATTTAAAGTAGAAATCATTTAATACTCAGGATTTGGGGTCTCAGGACATGTGTGATATGCTGTGCCCCTTTTTCTGTTAGAATTAAGATGCCACTACATACAGATTTGTTGGTGTGTACTGTATAGGCTAAGGAATGAGGGTGGCTGTGGGTTAAACCACAGAGCCTAGGGCTTGCCAATCAGAAGGTTGGCAGTTCGAATCCCCGCGACGGGGTGAGCTCCTGTTGCTCGGTCCATGCTCCTGCCCACCTAGCAGTTCAAAAGCATGCCAAAGTGCAAGTAGATAAATAGGTACCACTCCAGTAGGAAGGTAAACGGCATTTCCGTGTGCTGCTCTGGTTCACCAGAAGTGGCTTAGTCATGCTGACCACATGACCCGGAAGCTGTACGCCGGCTCCCTCGGCCAATAAAATGAGATGAGTGCCACAACCCCAGTGTCGTCCATGACCGGACCTAATGGTCAGGGGTCCCTTTACCTTTACCTTTTACTGTATAGGTAATAACATGCAAAAAACAACAACAACCCATTCAGGCATTTGGGCTGGAAAACATGTGGGCTTAAAGTTGTGATGAAATATGCACCCATACCCAACCCCTCATGTCTCTGCATGGGCCTGTTCCACTTCCTACCTTTCCATACTCAGGGGATTCTAAGTGCATTTGGGCAAAAGTGTTTTGAATCCTCCTTGCTCTCAGAAACCATGATAATGCATGCACACAATTGTGGTTCTCTGTGCATGTGAGCTAAATGCTCATTATTACTGGTTTCCTCAACGTCATTCAAAGGTCTTCCCTCAATGCTGCGTCACTCTTTTTAAGAATTCATCATTGTATGGTCAAAATGAAATATATTCTGTCTGAGAGATTGCCAGTACCCACCCACACACTGAGCATTGTAATCTTAGCCTTCAACTGTGGAATGTAGTCGTACACATGTTATGGCTGAGCATCCATTGCGTGATGTAACTGTGGTGGTTATCTATTGTTCTATCCAGCCAGTGTATTTTTAATTTCTGGATTTGATTAAATGATTAACAGTGCAATAGTGTGCGTGTCACAAGGAAGCCCCTTTGAGTTCAGTGAGACTTACCACCACCCCAAGTAATTATAAATATGCTCCAAGCCATAAGCAGTTCTTAGTTTGAGAACTTTTCAGAATAGAAGTCTCTTTCTCTCTCTTGTATTTGAGGGCTGTATTATTTATTTAGGCACCCTGTAATAAAGATGCCATTGTTTCAGAGCCCTGGCAGAGAAAGCAGAGAGCCAAGCTTTGCCTCGACCACGTAACAATATTGGCCACCCCAGCAGAAGCCACCCTCCTCCTTTATTTATTTATTTGCTGCTGCACACAATGACAAAAACAGCTAACTGGCATGCCTCTCCCTTTGTAGTGCATGCTCACCTCTGGGGAAGGATGAAATGCATGGTGCTTGCTTTATCTCTTTGATTGTTGACAATGATGTCTTTTTTAATGTTGGTTGTTAATTGTGCTTTTAGTGCTTGTTGTGTGCCGTCCAGAGACCTGTAGGTGCTACTCAACTGACTTGTTGCATTAGCACAAGGATTACCTCTAGCACAATGGGACTTCCCCTCCTCCCAATGCGCGGCAGCCCCTCCCCTCCCCAGATGTGCTCCAGAGGGTTGCGGGGGGGGGGACGTCCCAGAAGAAATTTAGGGGTTCATGGAGTGCTGAGCTGTAATTCTTGTGCTAAGAGGTCCCTGACATGATGCCATGCTGAATATAACCCTGTATCTTCTTTATTTGCCCTGTTTTTCATACTGTAACATAACCCCTCTATCAGGGGTAGGCAACCTAAGGTCCGTGGGCCAGATGTGGCCCAATCGCCTTCTCAGTCTGGCCTGCGGATGGTTCGGGAATCAGCGTGTTTTTACATGAGTAGAATGTGTACTTTTTTAAAAAATGCACCTCTGGGTTATTTGTGGGGCATAGGAATTCGTTCAACCCCCCCCCCCCCAATATATAGTCTTGTCCCACCACATTTTCTGAGGGACGGTGGACTGGCCCATGGCTGAAAAAAGTTGCTGACCCCTGCCCTATATGTTGTGAGGGAAGGACCATGGTTCAGTGGTTCAGCATCTGCTTTGGATGCAGAAGGTCCCAGCTTTAATCGGAGGCATCTCCAAGTAGGGCTGGGAATGTCCCCTCTCTGAAAGCCTGGAGATCTGCTGCCAGTCAGAGCTAGATGGACCAATGGTCTGACTCAGTATAAAATGGCTTCCTATGTTTGTATATTCTCTTGTGATCATAGAAGATATTGGATAAAACACTGGTGAAATTCTTTTTAGCTTGCATCTAGAAGAAGTTAGTCACACTTTAGTTCCATTGAAATCAGTAGGTAAACATTTAAATCAACGTGACTTGTCAATGGAAATAACTAAATATCCTTTGGATCCAATCCATTGTTTTTCTCTCTAATTAGAATTTACAGGAAAATGGCGCCTGGTCAGAATTCAAATAGGAAGCCCATAATGATGTGAGAATTGGATAAGGCAGAAGTTAAGGAAGATGGGTCAAGCAGAAAACTGAATCTTGCTTAGAAATGCTCAAGACCCAAGTACTCATTAGCCATGAGTAGAAATGCTGTGACCTGGAGGCTGCTAATGGATCATAATGGATCCCAGCCAGTCAAGAAACCAAGCTGGAGGCCACTCAGAGCCTGGATGTGCAGGGTAATGGCCAAGAAAGATGGCTTGAGTTTTATTTTCAATTCTCAGCCAATGTGGAGTATTCTGACTGCTGGATGATAATGGTTTTTTTAAACAATCTTGTTTCGTACATTCTCCTCATCTGCACAAATAAATGCCACCGAATACCTGCATAATCCTTGCATAGTTTCAGAGGTTATTGATAGATATCAGTTGAAACATGCATTCTGAAGACCAATTGATTGTAGACACAGGATGATTTAATCAATGGAACAGTTTGTTTCATTTGTTTGTGACTGCCAGACTCTGCACAATGTAGAGCAAGAGATCAGGCAGAAACACTTACGGGGATGTTTGCAGAGTTGGGCGATTGGAGAAAGCCATCCATCATGCAACTGCTTGGGGACAAAACGGAGGTATAATAACCCTTCCCCACTATTTTAAGAGAGATTTGGATATCCCAGGTACAAAATTGACACTTGGAGATTTTTTTTGGTGTGTAAATACACGTGTGTCTGTGTATTCATTCAAAAGTACAGTTTATAACAATAAAAAATACACTTGGAGACTTCTGACTCCCAATGAAAATCAATGAATTTAGCTGATTGCAGTCCTGTACATACCTCCATAGAAGTAGTCCCCATTTAGTTCAATGAGACTTACTATAAGGAAAGAGGGTATAGGAGTACCGCTCCAGAGAGAAGCTGCCTTTTTGGTTTGGAATGTGCCCTGTCTCCTAAATCCCATGTAGGACTGGTTCAGGGACTTTTGCCACTGTCGGTGGGACAGGACTCTCTCCCTCCCCCCTTGTGATATCAGAGGATTCTGAAGCACAGCTTCATTAGATACCAGACGTGCCAGAAGCAGTGTAATAGTAGAAGAGGACAGGAATGTGTTTCCTTAAGCTGCTGGTGAGGTCAGGGAAGCTCAGTCTAGGTGGTTAGGTCTAAAATGCTGAATAAAGAATTGGTAGAGCCAAGATAGGTAAGAGTCTGTAAGAGTCTAGACACAGGCTTCTAACACAGCCAACAGCCCTAGGATTCTGCTAATCCAGATGGCTGTTCCCTAACAGTTGGGGAACCTGTGGCCCTCCAGATGTTGGACTGCAGTCCCCAGTGTGGGTAGACTCATAATCTGGTGACCCGGGTTTGCGTCTCCGCTCCTCCACATGCAGCTGCTGGGTGACCTTGGGCTAGTCACACTTCTATGAAGTCTCTCAGCCCCACTCACCTCACAGAGTGTTTGTTGTGGAGGAGGAAGGGAAAGGAGACTGCTTCAGGTAGTGATAAAGCAGGATATCAAATCCAGACTCTTCTTCTTCTTCATCATCATCACCGGGAGTTGGCCCGGGCCTAGATGGTTGAACTGGCTCTGACCACCAGGTCCAAACATCTGTTTCCAGCTCATTCATCCTTCCTGGACATTAATATTACTGGTTATCATATTACAACTTTACTTTTACAGTGGTACCTCGGGTTAAGAACTTAATTCGTTCTGGAGGTCTGTTCTTAACCTGGAACTGTTCTTAACCTGAAGCACCACTTTAGCTAATGGGGCCTCCTGCTGCCACTGCGCCGCCACCACGCGATTTCTGTTCTCATCCTGAAGCAAAGTTCTTAACCCGAGGTACTATATCTTGGTTGGCAGAGTCTGTAACCTGAAGTGTCTGTAACCTGAAGCGTCTGTAACCCGAGGTACCACTGTATTTCTATCTATTCTCCTTCACTGTTGCACAGCATTACAATGTCTGTAAGTTATTATAGTGACAGACAGCTCCAGAAACCAAAGCAGAAAGACCCAGTTAAAGGTTTTACACTGACCTTAGTTAAGGATGGGCACAAGGAAGGCAATGCAACTCATCCTGCACTGCAGTCCTGATGAATGTGGCTCACGGCTAAAAACTAACAAATTTCCATGCCTTGGTTTCGTTAGCTCTGTCGTAGGGGTGGATTTTATTAAGAGCAGAGCAGTGGAGTGTATTGCTAGAGGAAATGCACTGTTTAAGCAGAGACCCGGCTTGTAAAAAGGTTCACTTTTCATGAGTTCAGTTTCAAATCAGAGGGAAGGCAAAAGGCTCTGAGTTTATGGTAGTTTATGTCTGTGAAAATGATGGTGTAGACTAAGAAACTGACATATGCACATTTTCCCTTGCTTGGGCCTCTTGGGCAGTAATGATAGAGGATATTTTTCTGCTTCACCACAACTCATTATATTTATACACATTATATTATACAAACACACACACATCTGCTGGAAAATTGCTATTCTGCCCAGACCAAGATCACAGTATCCCATTTCTTGTATTGCCAGCTATGGCCAGATTGCAGTCTTTAACAGGATCTCATTTACCCCTTAGCTTCAGGCAGCTCAGATAAAGCCCAGAAAGACAGGTTGTAATCCAATATCTTGTTTGAGACTTCAAATGCGCTGAGAGATGCTGATCACCAAAGTTTGCTGGAGGGTTCAGAGGGTAATTGTCAGTTAAACCTGTGTTTGCTGCGAGAAAAACAGTGTTAACTTACAGTGGAATGATGGCTTGACTCTGGGCTTGTCCACACTGAACTTTACCATGCATCTGAGGCTGTCTGAGTCCAAGGTTTTTGGGCATCCATGCTTTTGGTGACTAAATTTGGATTTCCTCAGACCTTGAAAAATCCAAAAAGTAAAGCAAAACCCAAAGTAAATCTGCTGCTATACAGACTGTGGCTGTTTGCATTCTAGTCAGTCTATCAACAGTTTGCACCTGGTCAGCTGATGGTAAAGTCACAGTGAAATATACTCAGAGTCGCATAGTGATTTCATGCTCTTTATTGCATCTCATAAACAGTGAATTCCTCCCCAGAACCTCAGGCTTTATATACATTATTTACACAATGGGTCCCATGTGATTGGCTGACTCTGCTTCCCTCCTAGAGCCTGATTGGGCTGCTCCTGCAGGCCAACCCAGTTGTTGCATTCTAGGATCCTAGCTCAGTACATAACACACAGTCTTCCTCAGACTCCGAAGGCCTTCTGGTGGTTCCCTCACTGTGAGAAGTGAGGTTACAGGGAACCAGGCAGAAGGCCTTCTCGGTAGTGGCGTCCACCTTGTGGAATGCCCTCCCATCAGATGTCAATGAAATAAACAACTACAGTGGTACCTCGGGTTAACAACTTAATTCGTTCTGGAGGTCCGTTCTTAACCTGAAACTGTTCTTAACCTGAGGTACCACTTTAGCTAATGGGGCCTCCCACTGCCACTGCACTGCCACCGAGCGATTTCTGTTCTCATCCTGAAGCAAAGTTCTTAACCTGATGTACTATTTCTGTGTTAGTGGTGTCTGTAACCTGAAGCGTCTGTAACCCGAGGTACCACTGTATCTGACTTTTGCAAAACATCTGAAGGCAGCTCTGTTTAGGGAAGTTTTTAATGTTTGATCTTTTATCGTGTTTTTAATATTCTGTTAGGAGCCTTGCCAAAGTGCACTTCTGTGCATGCACGGCGAAATGCGGAAGTATACACTTCCAGGTTTGCCGCATTCGTAACCTGAACTTTACGTATCAAGGGCAGTATGTAACTAGAGGGTCCACTGTATTGTCATTGTTTAGGAGCCCCCCCTTAGTTCTGTAAATTTAAGTTGCCTTAAACTGTTTTTAACATTGTGTTTTAATTGCTATAATGTGACCTGGGACCAGGGGATGAAGGATGAGTAATAAATTGTCGTAATAACAATAGCTAGGAGAAAATCAGCTGTGGAGGTGGAATGCAAGGGAGAAGTGCTGGGTGGCTATTGTGAATGGGAGGCTTAATCCACTGCTTTTTGAGAGACACTGGGTTCTGTTAGCTTGAAGCGATGGTTTAATTAGAATGCTAACATCTGTAAATAATAAACAAGGGAGAGGGAGACATTTGTTTGAGTATAGTATAGAGATTATTGTATTACTAAAAGAAGAGGGTTAAGTCCGGCATAGGCAAACTTGGCCCTCTAGATGTTTTGGGACTACAACTCCCATCATCCCTAGCTAACAGGACCAGTGGTCAGGGATGATGGGAGTTGTAGTCCCAAAACATCTGGAGGGCCGAGTTTGCCTATGCCTGGGTTAAGCACTCACCATCACTATCAGTTTCCTTCCACATGTTATACCCAGATTTCTGTAGTTAGGTTTCCCCTGAATGTCCAGCCTGGCCCAGAAGGTGGTGCCTTCCCCACAGATTTTTTTTTTTGCTTATAAATCAGGTGCCAACCCTGTAGGCGAATGGAATCTGAAGAATTTAGTTTAATATTTACCTTAGCCATTTGTACTTTGATAAGCAATGGGTCATTCACAGCTGGGTACAAGACATAACACTGGTAGGCTAGTCGTGATGTTTGCTTTACATTTCACATGCTTATTGATCGCATTCTTTTGAGGACGGCTGGATTTTGAAAAAAAGATTAATGGCAGGTGGTGGTGGTTGTCTCACATTTCTGAGAAGCCATTGGGAAAAGGCCTGCTCAGTACCTAGATTACTGATATGAAACACATAAATTAACTACAAATTAGATTCTCTCGCCAGCTGCAAGACAATGGACCAAGCAGGCAATCACTTCAGGGCATGCCCCAACAACATCTTATAACCCCAAAGATGTTTCTAAATGTGCTGCTCTGTTTTTGATTTTTAGGGTTTTGTTGCTGTTTTGTTTGATAGCGCATTACATTGTATTATATTGTAGCTTGTCAGTTTCATTGTTATAAATATTGTATTTTTTTGTAAACCTCTTGGAGGCTGTTTTAAGGATTAAGCGATATACAAATATATTAAATAGGCAAATAAAAATGAACCCCATAAGGCATTGCAGAATAAAATGAGCAGAGAGTGAGAGGCTGGTGGTTGTCTGAGGACTTTAAGAAAAAGGCCCTGGTCAGAACACAGGAAGAGCCCCAGGCAGATCAAGCTAAAGGCCAACCAGCGCTGGAGGCAGTAAACGTCTGAAAACCAGTTACTGGGAACAAAAGGAGGGGAGAGTGCTTTTGCCTTCAGGTACTCCATGTAGGCAGTGGTGGACGTTGGGCTCTCAAATTTCAGTGGCACCCTGTGTCACCGCTGCCTGCAAGGAGAACCTGAAGGCAATAGCACTCTCCTCTCCTGTTGTTACCAGTAACTGGTTTTCAGAGATGAAATGCTCAGAGCAGTGTGATGCAGTGGACTATGCCTCTGAATACCAGTTTCTGAGAATCTGTACTGGTTGTGGGCTTCCTGTGGGCCTCTGATTGGTCCTTGTGAGAACAGAATGCTGGACTAGATAGCCCACTGGCCTGATGCAGCAGAGCTCTTAGGTTCTTCTGAAAGATGGTTGGCTTTAGACTAAAGGTAAAGGGACCCTGACCATTAGGTCCAGTCGTGACCGACTCTGGGGTTGCGGCGCTCATCTCGCTTTATTGGCCGAGGGAGCCGGCGTACAGCTTCCAGGTCATGTGGCCAGCATGACTAAGCCGCTTCTGGCGAACCAGAGCAGCGCACAGAAACGCCGTTTACCTTCCCGCCAGAGTAGTACCTATTTATCTACTTGCACTTTGATGTGCTTTCGAACTGCTAGGTTGGCAGGAGCAGGGACCGAGCAACAGGAGCTCACCCCGTCACGGGGATTCGAACCGCCAACCTTCTGATCAGCAAGTCCTAGGCTCTGTGGTTTAACCCACAGCGCCACCTGCGTCCCACTGGCTTCAGACTAGGAGGACATAAATTGCAAACCCTGCTTAGCCATGATGTTCATGAAGAAACATTGTGCTGGTCATATAAAGCAGTACAACTATCTCATCCTAGCCTATGTTTCAGGATTATTATGGGGAAATAAAACCATGGCCCTTTTAAAGGTGATGGCTGATTTTCTTCTTGCTTTCCACCATCCAGCCCCCTGCAATGGCAGCGTGTATTAAAGCACTTGGCTCCATTTGCTATTTCTCTGGCCTCTGATAATCACTTAGTTTAATGTAATCCCCACCCCCACCCCTGGCAGAGAATTACAATCACAACACCAAGTGCCTTCCCTTCAATATGCTTTGAGTTATCCCAGCAGTCTGCAATATGAGATTGCCAGGACATTTCTGGAAAGTAGCATTGTGGCTGTTTTTAGCCACAAAACAGTTTCTGAAAATAAAAGTGTCACTTTAGACATGAGCTGGATTTTCAGCAAATGAATGTGTTCCTTTCTTCCAGATGCAAAAGGTGCTTTGGCTGTGTGTAGTTATTGCTAGCTTTTCAAAACGCATGGAGACTGAAGCTGCTGGTTTCATCACTTTGCTTGGGAATGTAAAAAGCTTTTCTCAATATGTGTTTTCTCTTCCAGACGTTTACACATAAAGAGTAATGTTTTGGCATTGTTTGAGGATTTGCAGAGGCCAGGGGGAAAACTTAAGTGTGATCCATGCTCTTTGTGCAGATAAAAGAGTGCATTTTTTTTTATCTCACATAGATTTCAAAACTATCTCGCACATTAAAATCAGTGGAACTTACAAATGCTTAGGCTGGACAATGCATGGGACTAAGTCCGACTGAATTCACTGGGGCTTATTTCTCAATAAACAAGTACGGGATTGGCTTGTTGGTTTACATCCCATCATATATTCAGAATGGCCTTGACATAAACATTGCATTCACCACTTGGGGTTAGAGGAAGTCCTGTTGATGTGTGTAATAGATGCAAAATTTACTCAGGGTCCTCCCTCCTGCTTGGGCCTTTGTAGTTTAGTTTACAATTCCAAGTGACATCATTTTACAATTCCAAGTGACATCATTAATTTAGAAGGTTTTCCAACCACTGGGTGTTATTCTATGGGAATGCATCTCAAACAACCTCCAATTAATGGGGTTAATTTTCCATCCAAATCTAAAAAGTCTGTAGAATAGTGGGGAGGGAGTTTAGTAGAATATATATATATATAAACAGGCCAGGTTTTCTATAGACTTGCTTACTCAGGCTATGACTATTAAAAACATTTAAAGAGAGCTACTTAATGTCAAATTGACTGTTGCTTTATTAAGCTCTTGGAATGAACTCGATGGCAGCCAAGAAGGTATTACATGGTCGTTTGTAAATCAAAGGTGCTATGGGATTTTCACAAGGTGTGTGCTTGAATTTCTCTGTTCCTTGTTTGGATTTCTCAGCTTCTCTAGAAATGAAGAGTTACCTAAATGTCAAATAGGTTGTTCTGATTTAGAAGCCCAGTTAAGTCCCACTTTGCACCATAGTGGGTGTCATTCAAGTAAGCATTTCTCAGAGTAAAGGTAAAGGACCCCTGACCGTTGAATCCATCTTGCTTTACTGGCCGAGGGAGCCGGCGTACAGCTTCCGGGTCATGTGGCCAGCATGACTAAGCCGCTTCTGGCGAACTAGAGCAGTGCACAGAAACACTGTTTACCTTCCCACCAGAGTGGTACCTATTTATCTACTTGCACTTTGACGTGCTTTTGAACTGCTAGGTTGGCAGGAGCAGGGACCGAGCAATGGGAGCTCACCCCGTCACAGGGATTCGAACCACCGACTGAAATTAATGAACATGACTTAGTTACACCCATTCATTTCGATAGGTCTGCTCTGAGTAAAACTTTGTTGAATACCAGCCAAGGATCTGGTTTTTATCCCCAAAGAACCCATTGAAAACCCTTCCCCCTATCAATGGCACCCTTGGTCCTCTTTGTTCTTTTCTTAGGAGCTGCCTCACTTGTTTGCTATGTCTTGTAAAAACGTAGCTCCACTTTATAAATTAACTTATTGTAATGACTTCCCCCCCCCCCCACCTCCGTCTGCGCTGCACTTTGGCTGCTTTCCACATTCCCCTTGGCTCAAAATGATTGATAGTGAAACTGTCCTTGAAGCAGTGCAGGAATGCTAAGCTTTTTTGTTCGAAGCCTGGTCTCCTCCAGTGAAATACCTTCTTTCGGTCTCTCTGTTCCGTTGAAAATCATATCCTTATGGAGGAATGAATTTAGCAGGTTTCCCAACCACTGGGTGTTATCCTCTGGGAATGCATCTCCAACAACCTCCAATTAATGGGGTTGATTTGGCATCATTTGGGCCACAGATCTGGCAAAGGGATGACCAGTGTGACCTTGCACGTTAGAATCAGAATCCCCATGAAATTCCTATGAAGTAAGGAGCGATGGGTGGATGTGTCCCTCATAGTTTTTCTCCTCTCCAAATCGTATACTCTTAGAATTGGGAAGGACCCTCAAGCATCATCTAGTCCAACTCCTTGCAATGCAAGAATCGCAACTAAAGAATCCCTGATAGATGACCATCCAGCCTCTCCAACAAAGGAGGTTTGAAAACTTCGACTGCAGGCCTCAGTCTGGTGGCATGTTAAACACCAATTTTGGGTGCACAGTTCTGTGACCACTGACGTATGTTACATGCTGCTGAGGAGCATCTGATGCCTTGCTTTGAGGTCCTTATTGTGACGAGGTGCTTACAGAGGGTTCTGATTATTTATGGCAGCAGGCATATCAAGTTGTTAATAGCAGAAGGCACTGTAGCTGCCAAATGTTGCCTGTTCCAGCCCTATAAAAGTGGACTAGTTTTTAAAACCTTTGGCAGATTTACACTCTAGTAGCTGCCATGTCATATTTCTAATAATGGAGCATCTGTGGGCTGCTGCTTGCCTTTTCCATTACTGTCTGAATAGTTGCACTTGGTTTGGTGTGTTTTGCAGGGCCAAAAGTATTTGCCTGTCATTATGATGTATAGTGCACAACCAACAAAGCAGTTTATCATCAATATGGATGATGTCTCTGGTATTTCATTCTGGTGTTCCTTCCTTCCATAATCTGGAGGAAGAGCTTCCAGACTATATTTTAAATAATAATGATGATGATGATAATGATGATGATAATAATAGAGAACATTAAGTGACTAAATCAATGTGGCCTTTCATCCCAGCAGCTAACCAAGCACAAATCTATAACTACTTAGGTTTTTGATGAGGCAATGGAGACAATTAGAGAATGATTTTCTCTTGTACTATAAACTAGGTGTTGGATTGATGTGTGTAATTGCGTTAGAAATTATTTAGTCAGCATGCATTTATGAGCCTGGCACCCTGGGCCCAAAAAAAGCTGCAGGAAAATAAGTTTCATTGCCACCGAAACTGCTGCATAATCCTTTAAAACATAAATATTTGGCTGCCCTCTTGTTTGCCATGGAAAAAAGAACATTCCAGTCTTGCAATGTGCAATTTATATTGACATATAAATGTGTACTTTATACTTTCATTGTTTAGAAAACGTTGCATAGGTGGTATCTAACAACAGGAAGATTAGACAGAATCTAGACAGTTTAAGTGATCATTGCTAGTGATGTTGAGCTTCTGTAGTAACTCTATTGCACGTTTTATGGGCATGCCTCAAATTACTAAAACTCTACATTCATGGAAATACTGTAGGTCATGATTTACTGGGAAATTGTTTGGTGCCCAGGGTAATTTTTGAGGTAACAGGGAAGTTCTTGAGATAACAGCTCATTGCTAATTGCAGATTGGATGGCTGTTTAGATTCAGAAAACAAAACCCTCTATTCTTTGGGTGTATGGATACCAAGGGTATGGAACATAGATTATATGACAAACTTGACAGCTATGGTAAGTGTCAGAGGGTAACTTCCAATGATGTCTTCCTGCTTGTGCAATAGAAACCCAGCTTAGCAAAGGGAATTTTGGCCTGTCGTAGGGAGAAGGAGAGGAAGAAGCAGCAGCCCTGTTGCACAAGCAGATGCCCTCTCACCTCTTTGTTGGATCTCATGCAGAGAAGGAAAGCAGCATGGTCATACACTTAGAGGCAGAGTTCATTTGTACCTAACACTTACCTAACCCATGACGTAGCACAGATGAGCAAATGCATGGACTTCTGGGGAGAAGTTCGTGGCTACTTTGCTCCTTCTCTGGTCCTTCTGCTGCTGTGCAGTGCTTAGTGTAGTTTGGCTTAGTGTATCAACTGAATCCAAATGTGTGGTGTAGCTCTCTCCAGGCAAACCATGAACTGTGAACCATAGGGCAAACCTTAGTTAAAGCTTGTGGTTTGCTTGGAGAGAACTAAACCGTGAGCCTTGCTTCAGATGACCTGCTAAACCAAACCATGGCTTTGTTCAGCACAGTAGCAGAACAGCTGGAGAAGGAACAAAGCAGCTGTGATCTCCTCTGGTACCCACATGTTTGCTCATTTGCACTAAGCCATGGTTTGGCTTAGCGTTCCATGCAAACTGGAACATTATGCATTGGAACAAAGAAGTTCAAGGCACTATAATAAATTCATTTACTTACTGGAGAACATATAGTTCAAACATGACTTACGTTAAGACTGAGATTAATACAATATGTCAGAATATGTAAATAGAGTGAGTGATATTTATTAAATTATTCATCATGGAAGTTATGCTAAGTTATAAACTGTTTTGTGCTTTATTAACTAGGAAATATGCATTTTACAATTTTCATTATCAATGTGCCTTATTGGTCACAAGACACAAATTACAATTTGGACTCTGTGGCTCCTTCCATCTTGTGTTACTTTGTAACCAGTGATATTTGCTTTTAATCACACTTCTTATATTTTGGGTGGAAAAAACCTTGATGACAGGCAGCCAAGATGCCTTTACCAGATTAAACAGATATACAAACACCCAATCTAGAAGATATCCTTAGAACATGCCAGCACAAACATACAATTATCCTCCTTTGAGATAACATGTTATGTTTCAGCAGACTGGCTAAGCAGTGTTGACCATGAGACCATAAATATAACTTGAAAGGGGTTTAATAAAAGTATTGAGGACTGGATTCCACTGTCCCAGGAATTTTGGCCAGAATCAAACCAGTTGCTTTAAATGCACTGATAGTCTAGGGGTTCATGCATTCATTCATTCATTCATTCCCTTTGACTGGCAGTTTCCAACAGTTTCAGAAGATGTTTGCTATGTGGCATATGGATGTGGTGGTGACCTCTCCAAAGTTCATTTTGGCACACGAAACTAGCTGCAATGTTCTTTGGGTCCAGGTGCTTGTTTACAGACCAGATAATTTCCTGCTGTGAAAGTGAAAGCATTTCTTGTGTACCATCAAGGACCTCTCCAGTTATCTGCTGACATCGGCAACAAAACTACTTCTGATAATGTATTTTGTGATGGCCATTACCACTACTTTTTTGGTCATAGACCAAATGGAGCAAACAGCACGCAGACCTAGTGGTGGGAGGAAAGAATCCTTAAATAAGAGGCACGGGGGAATGATTAATGGACTTCAATGTCTGTACACTAATGCGCAAAGCATGGGAAATAAACAAGATGCGCTTGAGCTCTTGGTACAGCAAACTAAATATGACATAATAGGCATCACTGAAACCTGGTGGGATAAGTCCCACGATTGGAATGTAATAATGGGGGGATACAATCTATTTCAGAGAAACAGACCAGACAAGAAAGGAGGAGGAGTGGCGTTATATGTCAGGGATGTGTACACCTGTGAAGAGATTCAGGATATAGAACCTCAAAGCCAAAGTGAGAGCATTTGGGTCAAAATTAAGGGAGAGAAGAATAACAGTGACCTCATTGTGGGAGTTTACTGTAGATCCTCAAGCCAAACGGAGGACATAGATGATGCCTTCCTGGAACAGATGGCCAAGCATACAAAAGGAAGGGAGATAGTAGTAATGGGGGACTTCAATTACCCGGATATTTGTTGGATGTCAAACTCAGCCAAGAGCATAAGGTCAAACAGATTCCTCACTGGCCTTGCAGACAACTTCATTGTCCAGAAAGTGGGAGAAGCAACAAGAAGAACAGCCATTTTAGATCTGGTCCTAACCAATGTTGATGACCTGGTTAGTGGGGTAGAAGTGGAAGGATCATTAGGCGCGAGTGATCATGCTCTTCTGAAGTTTACTATACAGCGGAAAGGAGCAGCCAAGCATACTAGGACTCAATTTCTTGACTTTAAGAAAGCCGACTTCATAAAACTTAGGGAAGTGCTGGGTGAGATCCCATGGACAGTAATACTAAAAGGAAAGGGAGTTCATGATGGCTGGGAGTTTGTTAAGAGGGAGATAGTAAAAGCACAACGTCAGGCAATACCAATGAGACGGAAACATGGAAGGTGCCTAAAGAAGCCAGGGTGGCTATCTAAAGAACTTTTAACTGAGTTAAGATTAAAAAGGATGTGTACAAAAATGGAAAAGGGGGAAACCACCAAAGAGGAATTCAAACAAATAGCCAGCACGTGTAGACACAAAGTCAGAAAAGCTAAAGCACAGAATGAACTCAGGCTTGCTAGGGAGGTTAAAAGCAACAAAAAAGGCTTTTATGGGTATGTTCGTAGCAAAAGGAAGAACAAAGAAACAGTGGGGTCACTCAGAGGAGAAGATGGTGAAATGCAAACGGGACACAGAAAGGGCTGAACTCCTCAATGCCTTCTTTGCCTCAGTCTTCTCCGATAAAGAAAACAATGCCCGACCTGAAGAATTTGGAGCAAATGATTCAGCAAAGGAAACACAGCCCAGAATAACTAAGGAGATAGTACAAGAATACTTGGCTAGTTTAGATGTATTCAAGTCTCCAGGGCCAGATGAACTGCATCCAAGAGTATTAAAAGAACTGGCAGATGTGATCTCAGAACCACTGACAGTCATCTTTGAGAATTCCTGGAGAACAGGCGAAGTCCCGGGCAGACTGGAGGAGGGCAAATGTTGTCCCTATTTTCAAAAAGGGGAAAAGAGAGGACCCAAATAATTACCGCCCAGTCAGTCTGACATCAATACCAGGGAAGATTCTGGAGCAGATCATTAAGGAAACAGTCTGTGAGCACCTAGAAAGGAATGCTGTGATCACCAATAGTCAGCATGGATTTCTGAAAAATAAGTCATGTCAGACTAACCTGATCTCATTTTTTTGACAGAATTACAAGCCTGGTAGATGAAGGGAACGCAGTGGATGTAGCCTACCTTGATTTCAGCAAGGCATTTGACAAGGTGCCCCATGATATTCTTGTAAAGAAGCTGGTAAAATGCGGTCTTGACTATGCTACCACTCAGTGGATTTGTAACTGGCTGACTGACCGAACCCAAAGGGTGCTCATCAATGGTTCCTCTTCATCCTGGAGAAGAGTGACTAGTGGGGTGCCACAGGGTTCTGTCTTGGGCCCAGTCTTATTCAACATCTTTATCAACGACTTGGATGATGGACTCAAGGGCATCCTGATCAAATTTGCAGATGACACCAAACTGGGAGGGGTGGCTAACACCCCAGAGGACAGGATCACACTTCAAAACGACCTTGACAGATTAGAGAACTGGGCCAAAACAAACAAGATGAATTTTAACAGGGAGAAATGTAAAGTATTGCACTTGGGCAAAAAAATGAGAGGCACAAATACAAGATGGGTGACACCTGGCTTGAGAGCAGTACATGTGAAAAGGATCTAGGAGTCTTGGTTGACCACAAACTTGACATGAGCCAACAGTGTGACGCGGCAGCTAAAAAAAGCCAATGCAATTCTGGGCCTCATCAATAGGAGTATAGCATCTAGATCAAGGGAAGTAATAGTGCCACTGTATTCTGCTCTGGTCAGACCTCACCTGGAGTACGGTGTCCAGTTCTGGGCACCACAGTTCAAGAAGGACACTGACAAACTGGAACGTGTCCAGAGGAGGGCAACCAAAATGATCAAAGGCCTGGAAACGATGCCTTATGAGGAACGGCTAAGGGAGCTGGGCATGTTTAGCCTGGAGAAGAGGAGGTTAAGGGGTGATATGATAGCCATGTTCAAATACATAAAAGGATGTCACATAGAGGAGGGAGAAAGGTTGTTTTCTGCTGCTCCAGAGAAGCGGACACGGAGCAATGGATCCAAACTACAAGAAAGAAGATTCCACCTAAACATTAGGAAGAACTTCCTGACAGTAAGAGCTGTTCGACAGTGGAATTTGCTGCCAAGGAGTGTGGTGGAGTCTCCTTCTTTGGAGGTCTTTAAGCAGAGGCTTGACAACCATATGTCAGGAGTGCTCTGATGGTGTTTCCTGCTTGGCAGGGGGTTGGACTCGATGGCCCTTGTGGTCTCTTCCAACTCTATGATTCTATTTCCCTGGTCACTTTATTTCTCTGGACTAACGTAATTTAAAAATGTTTTGGGTTGTTGTGTTGTTGTTGTTTTGGACACTCGCCAGCTTGCTAAAACCATGGACATAAAATGCCAGGAAGTTGTCTTAGCATTATTGTTCTCCCATCTTGCCAATGCAGACAGAATTCTGCTTCGTGGGGCAGGGGGAAATCAGACTTCAGACAGTCTAGGACTGGATCCAGACACATCAAAGAAGTGATTTAGTTAAATGAGTTGTAAACTTCACACAGGGAAGTCCTGTTGGAAAGCAGGACTCCACAGCGCCATCTGGTGTTATATGGTTATAACGCATATAAAGCGATTTATCTTTACAAATGTAGCTGAGTCCTAAGAAAGGCTTTTGAAAGGTATATAATGATTTCAAAATGTCATCATGGAAATTTGTAGCAATTGGTTTTTGTCTAAACATGATTGATCTAGCAGGACCTTTCGGTATTAGTATTTGACATATATTTTGAGCTATTTATAGAATTCTAGAGAAACAAAGGATAACATTACTTCTTAGGTTTGTCAAGACATTTGTATTAATATGTGCCCACATTTCACAGATAAATTTGAAAGGATCACACACACTTAAAATGCAGGCTTTGGCCAAAATAGGAGGGACACTGCATTTCTATCAGTAAGTTCTGGGCACAGCCAAGGACTTCTAAGTTTTATTTCAGTTGAACAAGTGAGCATGTGTTTCACCAATTCTCATTGAAATCATTCTGATTTTAACATGTTAAATTTTGACTGAATGGTGCCCTCCTTTGGAAAACTCTGGCCCTTCTTATTTATTTTTACAACTAACTGAAGAAATTGGGCCAGTTCAGATAAAACAATCTTGGCATAATTTATTTATGAAACAAAAAATGAGCATTGTGCCCTTCTCTCCTTCCATTGTGTGCTGGTTTAGGTGCTTGTCTAATGATTTGTGCCCTGTTATACAGAAACCAGGAAATTCTGCCCACTAACCAGGATATGAAAACTAGAATTGGATCAGATTCTGTGTTTGTTCTTAGTTTAATAAACCATGGTTTATTGAGCCAAGATCATTACTTCTGAACCTGGCCCACTATTTGAAGTTTGAAAAGTGAACCTTTGGACCTTTATGAAAAAAATGCAGCAATCTTTGCCAGGTCTTCAAAAGTTTTGCTTTTTATATAAATCCTTGTCTCGATGTGATAATGTAGCTAAATATTAACACAGCACCACTTTGTTTGGTAGATGTGATCTTCAACTCAGATGCACTGCAAATAGTTTCCCCAAAGCTTTGCACAATTATAAAAACTTCATATTTTGTGAGAATCAAGATGCCATCAAATCTTATGTTTATAAAACAAAAATGTAAATTACATTGTTCAAATTATAAGCACCCAAGAAGCATAGTGTTCACTATTCTCATGCCTGAAGATACTGGCAAACACTCAGTGAAGGTACGTATAATATATCCAAACAGAATGAGGGAAGCTGTCTTGTTTGTAGTGATATATAATCTGATACACCTTTTTTGGCTAAGGAACAGGACAAGTTATTTATGAAATGCAAGTGTTCACAGCAATGACAAATTAGGGCGGCTAATTAGCAAGTGAATCCATATTCAAGCCTGAGAAAGTCCAGATGTGGAATCAGTTGGGGCAGAGGCAGCTAACATAAGAGTACAGAAGATTCCTAGTGACTCACAGTTGAACTCAGGGTCAAACTCCAAAATGAAAAAAACATGGTTGGGATGGTAAGGAAGCAGACAGTAATGGAGGAAGAACTGGGAACTCATGGACAGAGACAGGATCTACGAAAGCAACATACCATTTTTTAGTTTTTTGGGCCAGAGGAGGGTTTCTGTAAGAAACTTTAAGTGTACAGAGACAGCATTGAAAGTCAATGTGAATGTTACATGGTGAGAAGAAGGACAAGTGAAACCTGTTTCACCTTTTATGTGATTCCTGCTTCTATTAGATATTTGAATTGGCTCTTGTGATCAACCAATCAAATGCTTATGGGTGGGGCTACTGGGGGTGGCCCGTGAATCTAATTGGGCTATGTAGTAGTAAGACGGCAGTAAGCAACATTGATGTGTTTCAATTACCTCTTTTCTTTCCTAGGATCATCTCTCCATTCATGAAGTGTGATGATGACATGTGAAAATATCTGCAATAAAATATGATTACTCATGGCCATAAAATTAAAGACCTCTTAATATTATGTCAGTTTCTTACTTGGAAGAACAGACTGATTAGTGAAAGAGAATATGTCTTCTGTTGAGAGTGAAATATCAAGATGGAACCTCAGGCACATCAAAAGAATAGCTGACCTCTTGGCGCCAGTGGCCTCACCTAGCGATGCTAACAGGTTTTCACCAGATAAATCCATCAGTGGCATAGACCGGTGCTCACACATTCCTGGAAAAGCAGACTCTGCTTATAGTTCTTTCTCGGGTGGCTCAAATATCCCAGAGTGTCCTGTCCTATTTTGCTATAATGAGCATGATTCTCTGCCTCTAGAGCAGCTATCATATATGGACTCAGGATATGTTAGAGGCATTTATAATCCCAGTGCAATAAATCCAGCATTTAGACAGATGTATGAAGACAGGGCAGCGGGCAGCCACTATATATTGGAAAATTCTGGCCTTGGCAAGCCATGTGGAAGCACTTCTGCCCATGGGATGCCATACCAACCATCACCACAATTGGCTAGATTTCCATCTCCTCACCCACCATCCCCACCAACTCGAGTTGATAGCTATAAAACAAACAGAAATGTAGATCCTGGAATTTGCTTTGACCCCAGTATGCAAGCAGATGTGTGCATTCAAGATACCGACTCTCCAGCAAACTATCACAATGATTACTGGCTCTCTAGATGGGAGGATGAAAGCCCAGTCACAGAAGAGGGTGACAGTTTGTATCCTGTCAGTCAACATATCTCTAGGAATACCAGCTCCACCATATCCACCACACCTTTCATTCTTCAAGAAAATTTAAGGTCTGGTTCTCTGGTCAAGACCCAGAATATTTCGTGTGCTCAAAATTCAGTCTGCTCTTATGCATCTCCTGAGCCAATGGAGTCTAAGTCCTCTCCGTCACTACATACCAGCCACAATGCTGTTAATGATACACAAGAGAACAAACAGTATTTTTATGCCTGCAGTGTACACAAACCAGCCTTCGCAGCAGATCTGCCAAGCTGCGTGGCAGTATCCAGCACAAAGAAGGGGCAGCTTCATGGTGTTCCGCATCCATTCAGAGTTGCTGATCGCTCAGGATTGGGCCAAGATGAATACGAAAGCTGTTTGAACTTAAAATACACTGACAGCTCTCTCTCCAACAAGGCTGTGCTAGGAATGATTGAAAGCTATGAAGGCAACAAGAAACATTTCTTCAGCTCTGAAGAAGGAAGCAGAGATGTCTGGCAACCACTTCTAAATCAGCAATCCAGAATGCAGAAGCTGCTGCCTCATGGTCTGGACCTCACAGAAACACCTCACTGGGAAGTCCAGGAGACAGCCAGTGCATTACCGTATTATAGTCACGATGCTGAGACCTCTGCTTCCCAACCAGTGAATGGGTTTAGAAAAGCAAAGAAAAATGACATGAATAGCAGCCCTGAACTTCTGGTGAACCCCAGGCAAGAGGAAATGCTCAAGCCTGTTCGTTTTCCAAAGCATCATTTTTCTAAGAAAACTGAAAGCCAGCCCCCAGATGACTTTGCCAGTATAAAGATAAACAGAAAGACAACTCCTCTGCTTTACTATCTTTCTGGTGGGAAAAATCCCAGTTTTATGAGTCATGAAAATTGGACTCAAGAAGGAGGAGGAGATGATGTTGCTTTAAGAACTCCAAGGAACAATCTCCCAGTCTCTGCAGAGCCGATAGAGATACCAAGGGACACCAACCCATGTGTGGATAATCCTGGCAGCAACCATGAAGGGCAAATTCTAGAGAGTCCTGCATCATCAGTGGATGAGAAGTTCAAGAATGACTATCGGGAAAAACTAAAAGTTGCTCAAAGAAAGGTCCTGAGAGAAACCTCTTTCAAGAGAAAGGATTTACAAATGAGCTTGCCCGTTCGGCTGAAGCAGACACCGTCTTCAAGGCCATCCATTCAGCATCTCAGGTCTTTGTCATTATCTAGTACAAACGAGGACTCCAAGTTGATTCCTGCCTCCAGGCCACTGGAAAGCATCAGCAATGAGGAAGAATCAAAGAGGCCACAAGCTGCCCGAATTGGGGGAAGGAAAAGGGCTACCAAAGAACAGAAGAAAATCTCTTATTCTGAACCCGAGAAACTCAACCAGCTGGATGATCAGAGAGATCAAAGCAGTCCGTGGAGAAAGCAAAATGCAAGGTCCCGGTCTGATGAGATCAATGAACAAGACACTAAGATCATTAGAGGTAAAGCTCTGGAAAACCAGGGAAGGTCTCTTTCTAAGGCAGAACTGAAACAAATACAGCAGAACGCACTTCTTGACTACATGGAACGAAAGATTGGGCAACGGCCTGCCATTGGGCAGAGCAGCGCACAGCAAAAGCCCCCTTTGCAACCGAGGACTTCAAATACAAAGAAGTTTGTGGAAGACAGCACTTCCCATCCCAGTGCCAGCAGAAAGCTGAGGAATATGGATGGTTTCTGCCAGTTTCCTGTTCCAGGGAAGACTCAGGAGCCACCCTCTTTCCCTCCCAGTTTAACATCTACAACTGCTGCCACCATGACCGACAGGCACAGCACCAGTTCCCCAGTGTTTGAAATGGCTAACGAAGGAAGTTGTGCCAGCAAGTGTGACTCAGCTAAAAGTCTTCTTCACTCAGGTTCTGTCTGCAGCAGAAGCCGAGGGAGATCAAAATCAACTCCTCCTCCTGTGCAGGTAAATCAAGTAGCTATTTAGGTCACATCCACATATTTGTACCACTTTAATAGTCACAGCTTCCCCATAGAGATGCAACTCCCAGCATCCTTAGTAAATTACAGTTCCCAGGATTGCGAAGTTGATGTGCTTTAAATGTTTTTTTAAGTGTGTGGCGTGGATGTGACCTAAGATATAACTTGCCACTTGCAATTGTATTACTGATAAGTTGCTATTATCAGTTATCTAAATGTAGGCCAGGGGTCAGCAAACCTTTTCAGCAGGGGGCCAGTCCACTGTCCCTCAGACCTTGGGGGGGCTGGACTATATTTTTTTGGGGGGGGATGAACAAATTCCTATGCCCCACAAATAACCCAGAGATGCATTTTAAATAAAAGGACACATTCTACTCATGTAAAAACACCAGGCAGGCCCCACAAATAACCTAGAGATGCATTTTAAATAAAAGGACACATTCTACTCATGTAAAAACACGCTGATTCCCGGACCTTCCGCAGGCCAAATGTAGAAGTCGATTAGGCCAGATCCGGCCCCCGGGCCTTAGTTTGCCTACCCATGGAGTATCTTGCAGTGCACCATCAGGATGCATTTTGCCTGGGTAGAAGTCTCCCTGTTGATTGTACTGGAAAGATAACACTGGAGCTTGGAAAGCAGATTGAAGAAAATAATAAGAAAGCATGCCTTTATTAGTTCAGGTTAGTTCAGCCTTCCTCAACGTAGGGCCCTTGAGTTGTTTTGCACTAGAATTCTCACCATCCAGAACTATTGGTGATCCTGGCTGTGGCTCATGGGAATTGAAGTCCAACAACATCTAGAGGGCAGGATAGGAAAATCTGCTCTAATTCAGTAAACTGAATAGTTCCAATTCTTGGTAGCTTAAATTATTCTTAAATTATTTTCATTCTGATTTAAGAAGGGCGCTACCAAGAGTTGGAATTGTTCATATTATGGAATTAGAGCAAACCAAAAATGAAACTGATAATTTTACATCCCTTACTTTCTCTGTCATTGAGACCATTGAGGCTTAATTTTGACTGTTCATGCCCAGTGCTGCTTGAATTGTAGCATTCTGTAATCTCTCCCCCTCTCATAATTTAATGCCATAAAGCAGAGCTACAGTATATCTGGAATCGTGCATTATTGAAATAAAGTGATCTTTGCAGGACTTAGGAATGTGAGGCTAAAAACTGCTGCAACACTTTCTTCTCATATCAGTAGCTCTTCTGTTCCATATTTTCTAATACAGAAGAATTGGATAAAATTATATAATAAACTTCTGGTCTCCTAATTTCTTTTCAGTTCTGACTTTTCCAGTCTGAATGTGCCAGCACAATCATGAACTCACCATAATTTTGTTCTTTCAAACAGCTTGGAGAGCTTCTTCATGAAAGTCCGATTGCCAATGTAAAATTCACTTGTAATGTGCAAATCTCAAGAATAGTACAGTTCCCTATATGGAAGTGAATTCTGATTAGGAATTTTTGCCTTTTGCAAAGAGGTGCTTAGATACTATGCAAGCTATACTGGCATAGGTGGTGAAACTTGATGGATTTCCATTCCTCAGAGAAACCACACAAGATCTGGAGCTTGCCATTCCAGAAGAGGCTCTGTTGTGTGAACTGCCCCACTGCCTTAGACTCCCTGTTTAATACTCCCCTGGTTCATCCTCCGCCCCAACATCAGCTGTTGGCTTTTTTGATTTCTGTCATGCTCCATAAACCTTTTCCAGCTTCAGGGGAGAAATATGCACTTCTCAGTGCCAACATTTGGAGGACAATGTCTGTCAACAGTGCTGGAAAAACAGGATAAGGAAGGCAAACAGAGGCAAAAGGGAAGGAAAAAATAGAGAAAGAGCAGTAGTACTACCTACATATATAATAAGAAACTGTTCATAATCTCTTTGGTTTTCAGGAGAGAGAGAAAAGACTCCTGCTAAGGGTAGCTAGGCACTTTTTGTATTACGGATCAGGAAGCAGCAGGCAAATTCTGTTATTGGGCAAGATGGACCTTTGGTCTGTGTCAGGCTGAGGATAATTCGGCTTAATATTTTCCTGGTATATGCCATTCAACAAATGAGGTTCCGGAGCATGGCAGAGTACTCTGGCACTCTGCCTTAGAGAACTCTTAAGAGAGGGCTAAAGACCTTATGGACCTCAAGATGTTGTTGCATTCCAATTTCCATCATTCCTGACCATGGGCCATGGTGGTTGCTGGAGGGCTATGTATTACTACTTCGGAACCAAGGAACCAAGGGTCTGTCTTCTAATGTTTCTTCTTTTGGAACTGAGGGACCTTCAGTCCAGTCCCACCTCAACTACATATGACCTTTGACAAGTCATTGCCATTCAGTTTTGGTTCCAGATGTGGTTTGGTAACCAGCTCTAGGTAGCTATTGCTCACAATATACTTACTAAATTATCAAGTACCGTATTTTTTCGTGTATAAGACGCCCCCATGTATACGACAACCCTATTCTTTGAGCCCAAAATTAAGAAATAAATATTTTAAACATTCCGTGTATAAGACGACCCCCAATTTTAAACTTAAAAAAGGGGGGAAATACAGTCTTATACACAGAAAAATACAGTATGTTATAAGCAAAAGGTTTGTAGAGCTTTTCAATATAAAATAAATGACATGCATCACCATGATTGAAAGAGATTCCTTCTAAGACTGCTCATTGTAAAGTAACCAGTAGCTTACATTATCCACCACAACCAGTTCCTCTTCAGAGATCTGGAGCAGACTTATTCTTACCACTAGAGTTGGACGAGCCTGCTGGTTTTGGTTTCTCTCAGCTTCTTGTTTATTCAGTCTTTAAGTTCTCCAGATTTCCACATCACATTGTGATCTTTTAAAAAAAACAAACAAAAAGAGTCCTCATAAAAATTTGCCAGCATTTTACTGTGAATTTCTCAGAATAAAACATTTTTGTGTGCAATTTTCTGTAATATACACATTTCTGAAAGCAATTTTCCTTAACACAATGCATTTGTGTACGTCATTTTCACTAATATATATGCCGTTTCATGCACACCCTTGTACACCTCATTTGGTACAAAATCTGGGCATTGCAAAATTCAGAAGAGTGCACATTTTGAAGGATGGCTACATTTTTGCCATAAAGAACCCTGTCAAATGGCAGCGGAATGATGAAGATTTGGATTGTGAGCATTGGAATTTGGAATAGAACTCACCAAGCTCCATGTATGCTGCTGTGCTAAAATGATACATATCTGCTTATTTTTTCTTTTCCCCCAAACTTCATTCTATTTCTCTTGGTCATAGCAAGGAGCAAAATCCCTCTCTGACTGGCCATTATTTATTCAGGCACTTATTTGGCTGCTAAGAGTCACCTGGCTTTGCATACACATAGACAAGCCTGTCTGTGAGGACTAGAAAAGGGCTTGCTGCTGTCTGTGTGAAAGGTGGGATTCTCAAGAAGCTCAGTCTTGGACACAATATTCTGGAGGAAGCCAATGGATACAAGGTGGTCAAATTAGCCATTTCATCTTGAGCCTGTGGCAGCATCACAGAAAACACAGGTCCCTGATCATTTCTCTGTTTTCTGCTGGTAGCAAAATGTGGGAGTGCCATAGAAGAGGGTATTAAAAGCGGGTATTAACAGTGCCATAGAAGAGGGTATTAAAAGACTTCCTTTCATATTTAGGGCTGAGAAATCTCTTCCTAGTCAGTTATCATGGAAATGAAAAGTAGAGAGCTACAAAGTCATATGGAGAGGTCTCCTCATCATAAAACATGGTTGTTTTCCATTCCCAGGTTTTCTATAGCTCCACAGCCTGCCCTGCGTTGTCGGCTCAAGACCATGAATACTATCCCGCGCACCCCAAGTAAGTGTGCATATATTCACAGGACCAGCTCTTACGCTTAGATTTTCACTGTGTTATGTCTTGATGAGAATAGGCTTTTCCCATGGGTTCATTCATGTGGAGAACCTAAGACAGGCATGCCCCATTTCAGAAGTTTGGCCATTGCATCTCAGAAGGAATTTCCATTTGCTTCTGGTTCCATTTCCATTGGACCCTAATGTTTTAGCTACTGTGATGGTCATGGAAATTGTTTCTGGGAGGCCATCGCTGTATGGGGTGAGTCATACATTAGGTTTGTAGCGTAAGTGCATCACTGGAAATGTGTCTCATGGTAAGAACAACACAGTTAAATGTCTGAACCAGCTCTTAGTTCCACCCAAACGTAAAAGTTTTTTCAGATACATCTGAGCAATTCTACCTGCCAGACTACTGTGATATAACACTGTGCAACTTTCCTATTGACCAAGCAATGCACGAAATCTCCTGGGTACAGTCACTTGCCCCACCATCATTTTGAGACTGTGCATGAGGACTGGGCGAATGTATGTTCAGGCTTTCTTGTGGATGTGCACGGTTGCTGGCATAATGGAATTGCATTCTCCATTCAGTTCCCATTCATTCCAGCACATATATTTGTTGATCTGTCGCTTTGAAAACAAACAAGTGAATAACAAAACATCTGTATAACTGAAAGGGTTTAATGGTTCTGCCTTCTATGTAGCACTATTGGGGTTGCAAATGAATGCAGTGGTTGCAGATAATGGTTTTAACTCAGGATGGAATCAAGAATGAGTGCAGCAAATTCAAGAGTTGGAGAGTGTGTTGTTTGGTGTGTGTGTTTTTTGGGGGGCATTACCACAATACCTCTGACTTGGAGATTTCCCCTACATCAACCATCAAATTCAGGGATATTTGAAGAAAGCAAGAGCTTCTGGATCTTTAACAGCTCATGGAATTAATCCAGAAGAAGTCTTAATTTCTTTCTAGCCATTTCTTTTTCCTTAGGAAGAACTTTATCTTGTGCATGCCACACTCCTTAGAATAAATGTTCATAAAACTCTCATCTTGGTTCAGTAGATTCCAGTACAAATAAATTATTATTGTTATTGTTATTTATTTTCCTTAAGAGGGTCTTCACCAGTGACCTGGTCTATACATGCAGCAGAAAGAACTGTGCTACTTCCGACTGTACATAGAATGATACTGTTGAATGCTTCCCTGTTTTTAAAAGGTCTACACTGCAGGTAGAAAACTAGCACAGCATTGAGCAAGCCATGTTGCACAAGTTCCCCTCTCCCAGTTTGGTAGGTTTTTTGTTTGTTTTATTTTTACTTGCAGGGAGTTTTTGCCATGAGGCAGCATTGAAAAAATATCATGATCTACCTGCAGTCTGGAGTAGTACAATCCACTCTGCCACACCTCAAGATTCTGCAAACTTATTCTGCTGTATATGTAGATCAGACTTGGCATTTTCTGCAAGGGAGTAATAAACACATGCAAGAAAAGCCCCTAGAAACTCAATGTAAACAGCGGCGGAGGAAGACCCTCGGGCACCTGTGGCGTCGGGGGCGGAGCGAACCACCCATCCCTTCCCTATGGGTGCCATGGGCCCCGTGCTGTCCAGTCATTATGGGCACCGTGCGCCTCATGCTGCAGGGGGCACACGGCGCCCATAGGGACGGGGCACACAGCAGGGCCTCAGCCACCCTACAGCTGAGAAAAACCCCACCCTCCCACTATATATAAGGGTCTGGTGATTTCTGTTTCAGTGTATCTGAAGAAGTGTGCATGCACACGAAAGCTTATACCCAGAACAAACTTAGTTGGTCTCTAAGGTGCTACTGGGCAATTTTTTAATTTATTTCAACTGTTGTTTGAGTCTCTCATGGGCCTCAAAATGTGAAGAAGAAAATTGTGAAATGGCTGCAAATGGAGCAGAGAAAATTCCTCTCAATATTCCAAAAGTGCAAACAGTAGTTCTGTTGCCCATTATTTGAGATCATAGCTCCACCATCTGATCTCCTGTTGAAACAGCATTTGACTTGCAAGGGGGAGACATGCCTAAGGAGAACAAAATGGAAGTTTCCTCTGGATCTGTTTATAACTCTTAAGATGCATGCTTAAAATAGAACTTTAAAACCAAAGGGAGTTTTGGCACAGATGCAGTATAAAAAGACGGGTTAAAACTCAAGTTAAGTGAAGGATGGAAAAATATTTAGATGTAAGATTATCCCATCAGTTAGCACAGATTTATAGACTATGGATGATGCATTTTATTATCTTTCACTGACAGAGAAAGCCACAGGCCTGACTAGAATAGCACACTTCAACCTTCATCAGCTACCTCCATTTCCCGCACCCTTTAAATTCTTCAGTTCCTTTCCAGAACGAAATGTGGTACCATAACTGCATTCCAGTGCATTAGGATTCCAACTTCAAAGCAACTCATAAAAGTGCTTCAGATTTATTAGGTTTGCACAGTCAGCTGCTCTAAAGGAAGGGAACACATCATTTTATAACCCACCTGCCCCCAATATACGCCTGTTATCTGATGGTAGGGACATCTGCTCTTTTAATGTGTGCATTAATATAGCAAATGAACAAGCTGTTGTTTGCACGCACACACACAAAAAGCTGGTGTTCATTACCTAAGGTGGTTGTTGCCCTGGGCAGAAGCAGGACAGCTAAACACCCTTGAGAGGGAATAGCTAAGTGATCACATAGAAAGCCTTACACAAAATCAATTTGCGTGTGTCAGTTAACATCACTGAGGGTGTGCTTACCTAGCAGATTTTACATATGAATGAGTAACAATTTGGGTATCAGAGAGCTTCCAGGTGCTTGCTTTTCATATTCAGGTTGCTGCTCAGGTTATGAATCTTCAAAAGTTTAGTTTTTATTTTTCATTTTCTCAGTTCAGTGCAAGTGCTTCTCTACTATTTCCATTTGGCGCTAGGTGGGGAGGGAAGCCTCAATCTATAATTAGACAATGGAAGCTGGTCTGTTAGGGCAAAGGATGAATGAAATGAAGTGACTCTGCTTTTTAATATATATATTTGAAACCAAACTTTAGCTCCCCATCAAAGGAGAAATTGGAAGCTGACCCATCTGACAAAACACATGCTCTGGTGGCTGCAAAGCAAAGTGCTGGAAGAAGAGGGGAGTCTATGGGGGAACCTGGGACCTCTGAAATGGCTAGACTGTCCCCATTGAGCCAAAGTACAGATCAGCTTCCCCATCTGAAGAGTTGGCATATTTCCTCTGGGCTACAGACGGGCAAAGACTGGCAAGGAGAAAAGCATCCAAATACTTTGCATCACTGTGAGCCTGCATCATCTGGGCTCAGACAGCCACATGTGGAAGCTGTTGGAGGACAAAGGGGGTCAAATTCAACAGTCCATGAACTGAAACAACCCCCTGCCACAAATAAAGTCTCGCACGCTTTCCCAAGTGTAAGCAGCGTACCCCTGCTTTCGGTTGGCAGGTTGCCTTCTCCAAACCTACCTTTGGAGCCTCTTCATTCTTCACCAGCCCCTCCTGCTCCTGCTGAGATGGACGATGAGGTTTTTAAGGAGTCTTTTGGCAGTGGCTCAGATACAGCCTCTGACCTCCCTTCCCTCCACAGAGAAAGTAGGAGTTTTATTCCGAGCAGACGAGCACCCCAGCCTGCCCCGATGCCTCCGGCTTCCATAGAAGGAAAGCAAGTCAAGGAAGAGCCTAGTACCAGGTAAAAATAAACATTCCCATTTGGGGCCAATGTGTTTCTATTTATTCTGAGCTGCCATGTCAACTCAGAGAGAGCACACATGCACATATAAAATGTACAATATGTAGAAGGCGATGCACTCTGCAACCCCCGGGAAAAGCTCACAATCACTTTGGCACAATCAATTTGGCCTGGAAAAGTGAAATTTTGAAGGAGAGGAACAGAATGTTGCTGACACTATATTCATGCTTGCCTCCCTCGACTTCTTAATAATAGTCTTGAGTGTTGGGAACTGCTGGGACTGGAACTGGGGATGTTTGTTTCTGTGTGCTGCTGTCCCATGTGGCAGGCTATGGGAACTGCAGCCTGGAGTATCTTCCTTGCTGCAAAGCATTCTCAGGCTCTGGACCAGCCTTCTCCATCCAGGCTCCAGGGGCAGCCCCTACCACTAGGGGGTGTGATGCAGTCACCTTAGTTGACAGGTGCTAAGGGGCACAGATGGCAGCGAGATCTTGGGAGGGCAGAGATGTGTGTGGTACACAGCAAAGTCTGTGTGACCCTTAAGTTTGGGCCACATTCACACCATACATCTAAAGCATGGTTATACCATGCCTGAAGAATTCTATTGTATACAACACAACACAGTGGCGCCAATGTAACTCAAGTAACAAAAACAAAAGGTTTTGGGAGCACCTTTGTCATGAGCATGTCTGGTTAAATGTGGGGCAGGGGGGTGGGAGAGCCTGAAAGACATTGCAGCTAAATATCTGATTTTTGCTTGATGCACAGTAAATAATTAGATGCAGCTTACTCTTCGTCCATGCTAGGAAGCGTCATTTGTTGCATTTCTGTGTGATGGACACAGGAGCAGAATCAGTTGTGGGGAAAGGTAGCAGCCCCAAACAATTCCTGTTGTGTACTCAATGTACCTTTTCAGGGGCCTGTACTTGAATAATCTGGTTTCCCCATTAATACTTGCTAGGTGTGATGCAGTCCTACTGGGTATGGCTCTGTGTGTGCACATGTGCACATGCTTATGTTTCTATACGATGGAAGAGAAGGCTGTGTGTGCTGCTCTGCCTTGCTGAAAGACAGTTGTGTTTCTATTTGTTGTTCTTCTTAATAATAATAATAATAATAATAATAATAATAATAAAGCTGTTTATAAACCTACCAGTCATGAACCTGAAAGCAGAACTTAACCAGACATGGAAGCTTGAGTGAGTACTCCATCCCAGGAACCCAGAGACAAAGAAGAAACACAATAATTTTATACAGCTTTGTCTTTCTTCTAGCTTCCCTGCCCATGAGAAAGAAGAATCTAGTCTTGGAAATAGCAGAGAAGATGAGAACTCTCCTGAAAATTCACATGGTGCAGACATGGCTCTTGACTTCCCGGCTTTCAAAGAACAGAACAGCAGACATTCTCAGCTGAAGAAAGAATTAAGTGACAAACCCCAACTTTCCAGTGCTTCTGGAAGAACCCGGTGGCAGCAATTAGAGGCAAATAACGCAACCCATGACTCAGAGAGCAGGGCATATTATTGCACTGCCTTGTTAGACAGCCAAGGACATAGAAATACTAGCCATCCATTAGCAGATTCGAGAGCTCTGCAAGATGAGCATGACTGTAACTTTCCAGCACAAGGCACAGATTTATCTTTAGCACAGTCAATATCGACAGATGACCAAAGGTGCGAAGACCTTGCGGTTGAGATTATTGCCAAAGACAAGTCTCTGGTTGACATCCTCATGCCCCATCCCACCAGGAAGACTGCTCTAGATCTCATGGAAGGTCTTTTCCCTGTGAACATTTCAATGCCAGGCAGATCCTGCAGAAGGAAGGAGGGAATTCAGTCTGTCCAAGAAAAAGAGTAAGTTTATATATTTCTTATTATTTGTTTTTTATTAAAGATTTTCTTACATACACTGTAAATTTATATGGCACAGAAAACCACAGGAAGCATACTTTGGGTAAGGGCAGGGGAATCCCATCCTGTTTTGCCACCTGAGGTGAAATGGGAAAGTGCTCTCCGGTATGCATGCTGCACAGAACTCACCTACCCTTGACAGTCCTGCCAAAGCCTCACTTACTGGGTCATGTGGCTTCCAGGTACCAGCGAGATCTCATGAGGGTCTCCACAAGATTTCACCAGAACCCACAGCATATGCTTTTTCCTCGCTTCGCCAGCAGGGAGGGGCACCTGTATTGGCTTCATACCCCACCCTGCAGGAAAATCATTTGGGAGGGGAGTCTCCTTATAACCCTGAACTCCTATTAAGAAAATTTACACCAGGGGTTCCTAACAAACTGTGAACCTTGGTGACCCAGCAGGCATTACAATATCTTTGTTGAATTAGTAATATTTTGAATGCCATCCCAATGTTGGAGAGGCTGGGAAAGTGGTTTTGAGTGCTCTGCCTGAGCACTTTTTTGTGATCAGCAATATCTCTGCTAATACATTATTTGTCACATTGTTAAAGAAGCATTTATAATGATTGCTTTTTATTTTAACAGCCAAAGAAGCAGTGACTGTGCAGCAGACCCATCTCATGGGACTCAGAGTTTTCCTGAGCAAAGTACGGACCAAATTCTGAGTAAAAGCAGTGAAAGTCTTGATGATCCAGACAGCATTACATCAAAGAAAGTAGGTAGACGAGTGACCATGCAGTCTTGTATATGTTTATTCAGATAGAAGTTCTGTTGGGTTCCGTGGGACTTCCTCTCTGATATGTGAGTGTAATAGGGCTGGGGAAACTTCAGACAACCTTTGGACAACCATCCAGATCCAGATTTTGGAGGTCTCCTCAAGCCATGACACGTGACACATGACACACTAGCAGCCACTCTCCACCAGTTTCCTAAGCTTCCATGTTTGTCTGACTGCATCCTTTCATACATATATATAGACATACATACATAATTATTTTAGTATGCTGCCATTCCATAGTTAAAACCATGCTCTAGGCGGGTTACAACATATAAAAAACACATAATTACAAACATAACAAAGGTAGTCATAAACAATAAAAACCATCAAAAAGCACACAACCCAATTAAAACAATTTCCACATAAATTATAACACATAAAAAAATAATACCAATAACAGCAACAACCTCCTCCAACAAAAAACCCCTAAACAACACCCTTTCCTTTCCTTTAGTCTCTGTCTTTTTCTCTCTCTCTGGTTCTCCCTCCTGCTCTCCTCCTCTGAAAAAAGGAAGAGAACAAGACAGTGAAAAAGAAACCAGAGGCAGGTGGTGAGGCAAATGTGGGAGTTTAATAAGCCAACCTTAGTGGACAGAACCTAGAGCATCTAAATACATTCTAGGCCCACTGTTGGTTGTCATACATATGCCTGCCAACCTCCTGGTCAGGGTGGGGAGGGGGGGGGGAGGGAGAGAAAGAAAGAAAGAAAGAAAGAAAGAAAGAAAGAAAGAAAGAAAGAAAGAAAGAAAGATGCAGACTAAGGGCTCATCCACACTTCCACTTGTCCTCTGCCTGGAATGCACGGGTCTGGGTGCTTTTCCACTTGCCCCATGCTTTCTAGGTACGAATCTGAGCGGTTTTGCCTTTACTCCGCCACTTTCCCCCGGAAAACATGCTCTTAAGCGCTAAATTGGAACAAACGTCAATCCACAAAAAACCCGGTTGATGTTTGCTCTGATTCAGCAGTAAACAGAGGGTTTTCCCAGGAGAAGGTGGCAGGGCAACTGTGTGTACAAATGTGTGTTTGTGTGTGTGCGTGCACAGGCGTGAAGATATGGCACTTCTCTCTGTGTGTACATGCACGCATGCATGTGCATATTGTGCCTATCTGTGTGTGAATGTGATGTGTACAGGAGGACATTAGCCCGAGAAAACAAAAGCACATGAAAACCAAATACCGTCTCAGCTGTGCCCAGTTACCTATTGATTTATGCAAGAGTTAAGCATGTGCTTCTTCCATTGAAATCAATGGTGTTTTAACAAGGTTTAATTTGGCAGGCATGGTGCAAACTTTCAGCTTTTCTGAAGTGACACACAAAGAAGAGCTATTACCATGAGATTAAAAACCATTTTTGTCAGAATATTCACTAAGGAGTTAGCAACTTAGTTCCATCGCTTGTGCAGTTCTGATAAGTTTAAGTTGCCTTCCTTAACATCAACAGGTTTTTGCTCTTATTTTATACTTTCCACTGGTGATTTCATGATGTCTTTGCCAGAAGATCTGGCATACATTGGTTCCGTTTTGAATAAATGCGCTTTCTTGCCTCAGATTCTCCTGCTTAGAAATAGTTTCATGGCTGTGAACTGGGTGAGACCAGGCCACGAGCCCTCTATGAATGAGACCTGGCATCCCGTGGGAATATGATACGCTTCGTTTTGAGATCTGGCAGCCCTTCCTCTTGACAGGCTTGGTGTGTCATATTGGCTTTCACAATGCAGAGAATGAAACCATAACTGAGGAAATAGTTATACTGAGGCTCCTTTGGCAGAAATCCCAGGTTTCTTTGCAAAGGAGGCTCGCTAGTCATTAAAACTTGGCGACATTTCAACTCTGCCAGTCATGTTCTGCCCACCTGTAACTTTCTTCGGCAGTGTATAAGCTGTTGCTTCCTATGATGAACCTGACTTGTCCCAGCCATTGATATAAGCGCCAGTGTTGGACAGTGGTTTGAACACCAGACTAAGATCAGAGAGAGCCAAGTTCAAATCCCCACTCAACAATGAAGTTCACTGAGTGAACTCAGGCTACTCAATCCCTCTCTCCCTAACCTATCTCATAGGGTTGCTGTGAGAATAAATGGGTGAGCAAGAACCTCATAAGCCACTTGAGCAAGGCACAAAGGTAAATAAATAAATCATTGTTAAAACGTGGCCATGCTGATCTTACTGCCCTCTGTTTTAAAAACCATTTTAGGTGCCTACAGGGGCAGCCTAGTTAGTATAAACATGCATGTTCAAGTTCCTGTGGCTGAATCCCATCACACACATAGACAGGACCCCCTTATTTACTCCATATCTGCCCTACCATGCTTTTTCCCATCTAAATGTTGATAAAGCTTGGCATCAGACAGAGGTGTGGCTGCCTCAACTCTGATGTATAGTGACATTCATTGTGTGCATACCAGGGCCTTGGAGACAGGGGAATCTGACTTTATTGTAGAGAGTTGAGGCTTTAAAATTGGGGACCAGTAGCTTGCTTTCCTCCACTTCCTGGAATCTATTTTTCCTCTTCTGCCTGATGCCTGCTTGAGGACAGATGGCTGAGCTAGACCCCATGGTGGTGTGAGCTATTTTGTACACTTATGGAAATGCCAGAAACAAAGTTCTTTGGTGACTGTAAGCCTTGAATCCCACTAGCAGATGAATCTCGTGGGGTGTCCAGAGCACAGTCTAGTCCTGTTGTATTAGATGAATTTCAGCTGATAAGGCTCAAGGATGTGGACAAGGTGCTCGGACTTTAGACCCTTGGGGTGGTTCCAGTCCTACTTGGATGGTCGTTCCCAGAGGGTGTTGCTTGGGGAATGCTTTTCTGAAGGAGCAGCTTCATAGCTTGGGGGTACTCCTGGATCTTTTGCTGTCACTTGAGGCTCAGGTGGCCTCAGTGGCCCGGAGTGCCTTCCATCAGCTTTGGCTGGTGGCCCAGCTATGCCCCTGTCTGGACAGGGATAGCTTCACTACTGTTGTCTATGCTCTGGTAACCTCAAGGTTAGATTACTGCAATGCGTTCAGAATCTTCAGCTAGTGCAGAATTCAGTGGCCAGGTTGCTCACCGGAGCAAGACAGTTTGAGCATATTACACCAATCCTGATCTGACTGCACTGGCTACCAATTAGTTTTTGGGCCCAATTCAAATTGCTGGTTTTGACCTATAAAGCATTAAACGGCTCATGACCACAATACCTCAAGGACTGCCTTTTTCCATATGAACCTACCCAGACCCTGAGATCATCTTCTGAGGCCTTGCTTCGTGTGCCACCTCCTCAAGAGGTCCGAAGGGTGGCAAAACAAGAACAGGCCTTCTCTGCAGTGGCTCCCCATCTGTGGAATGCTCTCCCCAGGGAAGTTCGCCTGGCGTCTTCATTATATACCTTTAAGGGACAGGCAAAATGTACCTTTTTAATGAGGGCTTTGGTTGATTTCATTGACGTCCTATGCCCTTTTAAAAAGTGTTTTTTTGGGGGGTGTGTGGGTTATTGTGTTGTTGTTTTTATTTTGATTATATATTTTGTGGTTTTATATTTTGATTTTGTTCTGTAAACCATCCAATAATAATAATAATAATAATAATAATAATAATAGCAGCTACTACCACCCAGGCCAAGTGGTGAAAAAAGGCATTCACCTAAGAAATATTTGCCAGCATTTTCATTATAATAAACTGTATTCGTTTTATTTCAGAATTGTATAGCTTTGCTCCTGTATTTTGTGAAAAGGCTTGCTTCGATCAGTTTTCTTGAAAATGAAGTATATACTCATAAGCAATTTTAGCCCAAGGTTTGTGTCCCTTTTAGGATATCCCTGTAACCTCAGTAAGACAATTTTTGTGGTGGCAAATATGGAGCAATAGGCCTTCCTAGCTGTCCAATGTTTTAAACAGACTTGGATTTCCTTCACTCCCATAGAAACTCAACTAGGAGCTTAAGGCAGTTAAAAGAGGCTTATAAACCCTGCCATGCCAGGTAGGAGAGAATTTTGGCTCAAAATGTTCTCCTCCGAAGTGTTCCTTCAGGGCCTGCCACCTTATCTGAGAACCACCCTACTAAAACCTGTCTATCAAAGCCAGTTCAGTTTCTCAGTGGCTTCCTTCCTTGCAGAGAGAACTTATTTCCAGCATCCATTTGAAGCTACAGGATCTGTGGCTTGAAAGGGAGCTGATCGAGTCTGAAGCTAAGGGGTATGCTGTGCGTGGCAAGGAGCTGGAGTCCCTGGTCCAAGACCTGTGTAAACCCAATGAGTACGAGCGCTACATGATGTTCATTGGTGATCTGGAGAAGGTGGTGAGCCTGCTGCTGTGCCTCTCCAGCCGCCTTGCTCGGGTCCAAAACGCTATGGAGAAAATGGATGAAAACACAGATGCTGAGGAGAAGGTGAGTTCCAAGGCAGGAACTGAGGGGAGGCTGTTTTACTATATGCCCTTCAAGATATGACTCTTCTGGTTGCCTGGACATAAATTTCTAAATCTACTGCAACAATGCGGATTCCATGATTAATGGTGCTTAGGATCCAGTATGTAATATTGACCTTCAGCAGCTTGGGTGCTGCTGTGATGTGGCTGATCCCAGACTGTTTGCTGGTAACATTTGAAGGAGGGTGTGTGTCACTTGTCAGTAATGGGGTGAGAAATCACCATGTTGCCAGCTGTCCCCTATCTGACTTCTGCCCCTCGGAAATCTTGGACAATTTTTCAGTGTTCCACAATACGGAGGTCTCTCAGGCGAAGTATTAACTCTTGTTTGGAGACTGAAACTAGACACACGGCATAGGAGACAGCAGAGGAATTGGGAGTAGGGTGTATGGGATCCCTTTCATCTCTGGCCATTTTCCCCTTCAAAATTATTTCCATAAAGTAAAAGATGGGTAGAAAAGTAGACAGAAAGCTTTTTTAAAAAAGAAAGAAAGAAAGAAAGAAAGAAAGAGAAAGAAAGAGAAAGAAAGAAAGAACAGGGAAGCAGCTAGGGATGGGTTATGTTTTGCAGCCTTGTCTCTACTGCACCCTCAGGCTGGCAAGAAACCGTTCATACATTTACTGTGTGTTACATTTAATTTGATCCTCAGCCAGTCTTTCCACCATAAGCTGTACTTGGTCAGACAAGCACAAATATTTCAGGGATGGGGGATCGTTCTGCATCTTCAACGATGTTGGTAAAATCCATTTGTTTGCTCTGATCACATTTCTGTCACTTCTTGGGTTCATAAAATACACCACAGTTAACATGAGCCATATTGAAACCCAGCCAGATGGGCAGGGTACAAATATTAAATTACAATTACACAGAGTCTCTGCTGTTTTTATGTAACTTGCTCTGGTATTACTTTTGGTAATGAGGAGCAGATAATAAATATTATGAATAAATAGGCATCCGTGGTTATTCTCTGGGCACGATCCACACTCAGATTCATGGTAGATTAATTTAGGGCATGATAGGGATCATTTCCAGTTTTGTTAAAATACAATGCAAGTTCTAAACACCAAGTGTCAGGAGGACCAGCTAACTGACTACAGGACAGAAGGAAATATTCGTTGCATGTTATAATGTTTGCACACTAATTTCTGAGTTGCTTTCGTTGTCTTTAGCAGTCATTAAAAGAGCGGCACAGACTCTTGTCCAGGCAGCGGGAGGATGCGAAGGACCTGAAAGAGAATCTGGATCGGCGAGAAAGGGTGGTGTCGGGTATTCTTTCCAAATACATGACTGAAACGCAGCTTCAGGACTACAAGCACTTTGTACAGGAAAAGACATCACTATTGATTGAACAGAAGGACCTTGAGGAGCAGATTAAGTTTCTTGAAGAGAAACTGGAGAGGTTGGAGAAGAGTATTCCTACTTAAAGCCATATTAGCAGGCCACTTGGTTTCATGAATGAAGCGACTGTGCTAGAACTCCATCTGTATCCATGGAAACATTTAAGAAGGGAGCAAGGCTGTGTTTGGTGACTTCACATAGGCATCTCCGTGCCTCAGTGCTGACAAGGGCTTAATTGGCCCAGGCAAACATTTTTAGGAGAAAGTGACAAAACCTTAACTGTAGGTGGCAATGCATTTTATCTTGGAATGACTGATGCAATGGATATTGCCTTTCATTAATGAGCTGGTGCGCTGTTTTTCTTTCCTGCAGACTGCTGGTCTGCTTCCAGACTGACATCATCCCAATAAAGAATATATAAGTATCATAAAATGTTTTCCTCTTTCTGGATGGAGTGGGTATTTAATTGACAGGCAATGTTCACGTTTAAATGGGAAACGCCATAGCACCAACTCTGTGGCACAACACTTGCAGGCCTTTTAACAAACTCCTTTTCCAGTTTAACCACAGGGCTTCCCTCTAACAAAGGGAGCAGCTTGCAGGGCCAATAACTCTGGGCTCTATGAAACAGTCATAAAACCAAGCCTGGAGCTATTCACGTACTAGAATTGTTTCTTCGGAACGTGGGTGTGTAGGATGTTGAGGAATACCCCTTTCCAGCTGCCTTTCTTTCTTGCTCCCCTACCTTATTCTTACTAGGTGTGCTTAAAATTCTTTGCAATTTCCCATATACAGCCATATCTTTTTCAAAATATGTACCCAGATTTTATATGAAATAATTGATATCCTATGAATGAGTTTTTCTGGACAGCATTCCATTTAATTATAACATTCATTCCCTAAGAAGCAACAGACATAAGAAGCTGTCTTTTACTGGGTCCAACCATTGGTCTGTTCACCAGAGCAACCTCAATGCTTCCCCCCGCCCTGCCCCCCCCCAATGTGGAAGAGGTAGGTCATTGCCTAATAATTCTCTTAAGCTGAATCTGATCTTCTTGAATACTCTGTGCAAAATGGAAATGATAACACTGTTAGAGTGCCTCTCTGCTGGCCTTGGCCAAAACCCAACTTTGTCACCATAGAGTGTTGGGTGTAGAGGGCATAACTTTCCACTCGGCTAATCTATTCCAAATGCTGGTTGTGTTTAATACATTTTACAATGATTGATATATTAAAATGTTCATTTTCTTTGATGCGAGAATCTCTCCTCTCTAATTGCAACATAAAAATCGGAGTGGGGTAAATAAATACACATGGCATTTCTAGGCATTTAAAAATAATTAAACCAAAACCAAGTACCTCAAAAACACAGGGTTTGGTGCAATATACAGCTCCAGGGAATGTACTCTTCCAACTGGCCATATGCTATGTTATGAATTGTTTTGCCACATCTTCCTTTCAAACACCCACCACCATTTGCACATTTGTCGGTTACTTTGACTGCCTTTGTCTAACAGAAGGACAAGGAAAGGGTGCTGAATGAGAAAAGGACAGAACCGGTGGACTAGAACGATCAGTTCAAGACTAGGATGGGGAACATAATGTTGTTGGAGTACAGCTCCCATCATCCCTGACCAATGGCTGTGGTGGTTTGGGGCAGATGGAAGTTGCAAGTCAAACAAAATCAGAAGGGGCAGTTGGTTCCTTAAACCAGAGAAGGAACACTGCAAGTCTCCAATGGTTAATTGCAGTTGGGATGAGCAAAAGGGCTACCTTTCAGATCTGGTTTTCCTATCAGAAGTAATAGCCTTCTCTTACAATCAACAACCTGAGATACTGCGTAGGAGAAAGAGCTAGTATTCCTGACATTAAGCTCAGTTCCAAAGAAGCCCTTTTGCCCATCACAGTTGCAATTAACAACTGAAAACTTGCCCATGACTTTAGGCCAGGGATTGGCAACCCAAGGCCCATGGGCCACAAGTGGCCCACGGGAGTCGTTTAACCAGCCCACGAGCAGCCCCTGAACCAAGCCGCCTTCTCAGCGAGAACCTTCCTGACCCCTGACTTAGGCCGTATGCATCCTGTGCACTCCCACTGCCTGTTTGGGAAGTGGTGTGCACATGTTAGCCACAAACCATCTCTCTCTTGTTTCTTACGAAATGCTGCATTTTAATGCATTTCACCCCAAACCAGCTTTGATCCAAACTGAGAGAAAGAACAATCCAGCTGCATTTTGAGCCACAGCCTTTGGTCTCGTCCACACTCCCACTTGTTCTGTGCCTATAAACCACGGCTCAGAGCAGTTTTCTGCTTGTCCCGTGCTTTCTAGGCATGCATCTGAGTGGTTTTGCCTTTGACCTGCTGCTTTCCCCCGGGAAACCTGCTTTTTAGTGCTAAATCAGAGCAAACATCAATCTGGAGAAAACCCAATCAATGTTTGCTCCGATTTAGCTCTAAAGATTGGGTTTTCTCAGGGGAAAGAGGCTGGGGCAAGTGGATGAGCCCTTAGCTGCAGCAGCACAGTCCTAAGCAAAGAAAAATAAGCTCCACTGCGTTCAATGATGCCTGGAACCTGTGCAGATGTTATTACAACTGGCTATGTTCTGTAGCTAATTCCTCTACCCTAGTGTCACATCATCTTAGGAGTACATCTCTGGGAATACTGAACTCCAAGCATGCTAACCCCTGTACCACAAGACAGAGACACTTGCATTTGAGGGACTTTTGTCTCTGTCATTTGTTGGAGGCTGTGCATTTACATATCCCCTGCACTGGTGAATGAGCACCTTCTAGTGGCAGCAACGGATCCTTTTGCTTGTTCCTCACATTACTGTTACACCAAGTGACTATGACCTTTTTTCTGCACTGTTGTATAGCCCAGTAGCTGTGAATCAAACCAGCCAGTTGCTACATGCTGCAGTCTACAGGTACAGAAAAGGGTAGACACAGCACACATAGAGAAAGAGAAGAAACACAATATTTAGCTCAACAACTTTGCCAAAAAAAAAAAGCTCAACAACTTTCCTGTCTTGATTTTCAGTGTTTGAAATATGGCAACCCTACCTTACAACACAATATTTAGTATTAAACATCCTGCTTCATCCTGCTTTGCCTTCTCTGGATTCATTAGTCCAGTGGTATCCCCCTCCACACACATAAACCCTCCCCAAATGTGCTCTGCAGGGTTTGGGGGAACCTTTGTAACAATTTTAGGCTTTGCATGGGGCTGGAGAAGAGGGGGGTGAAAGGTCAATTTGTGCAGAAATCCTTGTGCTGATGGGAGGTTTGCTTAGTGTGACATTGGCTACAAGCCTTAGTTTAGAGAGCTGCTTTAGAAATGATTACTGTTTTTATTTTTAATGTTAATATTAATATTCTGGTCTTATGACTGAGGATTGTGATATAGGTTTTGATTGTTTGATGTTTGAATGCATTAGCTGCTTTAAGTTTCTTTCATCCTTAAGTTGGTAGAATATATGTTTTAGGATAAAAATAAAAATACAGAGGCTGAGGCCACTCCGATTCATGGAGGTTTGGGGGTCAGGGCTTGCTGCTGCACTCAAATTCCTCTTGGCAGGAATGTCATACTATTTCCATTTATCTGGGCTGAATTTCGAAAGCACAGTCTTCCTTCCTTTCCCTTTCTTTTTGAAGAACAAGTCATAAGAAAAACAGCAAGAGCAAAGCAGAAGTACAGCCTAGATCTAAGTCAGGCATTGGCAAAGATGCCTCCGATCAAAGGTCTATCTTGCTCAGGGTTGGGGAATTTGCTTTATCTGGGGGACCACATTACCTCATGGACAGTTTTGCAGGGGCCACATGCAAACAGTAAGCTTGGCTAGAGGCAGAAGTGTGTGGAGGTTTCTACACACATACAGCCACATCGCAAACACATCTCTTTAGCCTCCATCCAGGCAAGCAGTAGGCATTATCCCACTCCCAGGATGCATGCCAGCCATGCAAAGGCACCTGAGGAGGAAGAGCGAGGCTGTTAAAGGGTCAAGCCTGGGGAAGGGGGCGTGGCCTGGGAAGAGAGGCCTGGAGGGGTGCATTCAGTCCTGTGTCCTGAGTTTCCTCACCCTGATCTAGTTCATCACCTTGTTTCCAGGAAGCCTGGAAATAGGTACAGATAAGAGGGGTCAGAATATTTGCCGTTTGTGTCACTTTTCCCGTGCTTATTCATAAATGCCTTCCACCCTATGTCCACACTGGTTTATGGTTTTTCATTTTTAATCCATACAAAAATTTGCATTTAAAGATTATACAACTCCATAATTTTTTGAGCATATTTTCTGCACATCTCTAAATATAATTTCTCTTAAAATACACATTTTTGAGATGTTGTTTTTGCCAAGAGCTGCACTGCAAAATCTGGAGAAGGGCCAAATCTGAAGGCTACCTCTTGTTCCCATCCACACTTCAGCTCAGGAGGAGGAGGAGCAGATCAGTTCACATCTGAACTTGAGAAAGATTAAATTCCACAAGGCTCTCTTTCACTCTCTCACGCACACACTGAATGTAGGTTCACACACCAACTATCACAGTCAAATAGACAAATTTGTAGAGGCTGCTATGGACTTAGATCAGCAAGATGTCAAAATTCCATATACCCATATAGTGCAGTTCCACCCCTGCGAACGATACAATTATCTTCCCCCTCCCTCCCCCGTCTCATAGTACAGTTGACTTAACATACTGTATGATAAGATAATCATAGGTCATAGGTGAAAGGTTAAGACAGCAGCCACAAATTGCTAAATGTTCACCCCCCTGCCTTTAGCTATGATAGCCAAATATGCATTAGATTAAGCAACCGAGCTCTTCAGATCTTGCATTCCATAGCCTGTTCAAAGAACTGGAAAATTACTGGTTTGCAAAGCTACAGGGGACTGTAACCTCCCCTTTTGCTCAAGCGGCTTAACCAGCTGGCTCAGTTATTACACACATTTCAAAAACCATATAAAGAAATTGATGCGTTCCATCGCTACTTCCATCCCACAGGATCTGCAAGCAGCCTGGGAATAGTCACTTATTATTCATGTGCGCCTTTTCTCTTAGAGCTCCAAGGTAACTCAGAGCTGAAAAGTAGGTGTCAAGAGAGAGTGCTTTCTGGTTATGTAAGGTTTCATAATTCTGATATAACAAAGTGCAGTGCAGGCAGTAGCAGGAGAGGTGGGCGTAGAAATAGTAACAAGTGAGATGGGGAGGGGGAATACATACAGGCAGGAATGGGAAGCAGGTGAGCGTGTAAGAGGCAGAGCAGGACCCAAAGGAATATGCTGGTGCTGTTTTTTACATTATCAAGCACCTGTGTGGAAAGGGGAGGTTGGGAGGGAAAAAGTGGGAATGATTGAAAGTGTGTTTGAGTGGCAGGTACAGTGGTACTTTGGTTCTCAAACTTAATCCATTCTGGGAGTCCTTTCGACGGTTCAAAAACCAAGGTGCAGCTTCCAATTGGCTGCAGGAGCTTCCTGCACTCAACTGGATGCCAGAGAAGCCGTGCTGGACGTTTGGCTTCCCAAAAATTTTTCGCAAACCGTAACACTCACTTCCAGGTTCGCAGTGTTCAGGAGCTGATTTGTTCAGGAGCCAAGCTGTTCAAGTACCAATGTACCACGGTACTTGAAGGTATTACAATTTTCCAGACAAATAGCATGTGTGAACTGGTATACTCACAAATTCACACGCAAATCAGTTTAGTGTTTTTAATTGGTGTTCCCTTAAGATGGCCTTTGAATGCAATCATAATCAAGAGCACACAGTCTCCTGTGGAGGCTAGGCTATGGTCTTACCTTAAAAATGACTGGCCTCTGTAGAATTCCTGCTTGTTGCTCTATTCTTGAGGCAACAGGTGCGTATCTGCAAAAATGCACAGAGTTTTGTATTAGCTGCATTCTCAAATGTAACTTGGAGCACCTGAGGTGCTTAGTATCATAGTAGATTTAGAAATAGTGCAGTTTTGCCATGCTGTACCCATCTTGCAATGTCTGGTATGTGAGACTAGTGCATGAAAACACAACTATTTTAGATAAACTTTATTATTATTATTCGTTTTCACAATTTTATACATTTTAACTTTAACCGTTTCAAACATTAAAATAAAAGGTTTTTTTGAACCTTCGGACCTCCTTCCCTCCCTCCATGGGTTCCATATTTAAGATTAAATTCACTGCATCTTTTACCATTGTCCATCTGTTATATATCCATATTTACCATAGTTGATTCCACATTACAAGTGTCATTACCTCCCTGC